AGCTTGTGTATGCCGAACGGTGCTGTGGGGTGGTCCGCGAACCAGCCCACCACCCTCCTGTGCGTGGCTTCCATGGGTCTGTCCAGGAGGGAGCCGACGCTCAGCTTCCGCCCCCTCTTGCTCCCGACTTCCCCTGCCGTCCGGCCGGCCGGGTGGAGCAGGTCCAGGTCGTCCTTGACGGCGGAGTACCGTACAGGCCAAGTCCAGTCTAGAAGAAGTTCAGAGACTTTTTTTTCCCCCTCCAAAATGTTACTTGTGCACCGTCGTGGAAGTAAAAAGCTTTTAGCAGTTTTCCAAGCTTTGTAGCTTCAGTTTTTGCTGCGACCATTTTCACACGTTATTAGATTGTGAAAGGCACACTGACACCTGCAAGTCGTCAGTGTGACAGCAGCACCGTCATGCTTACTCACTGCTACATGTGACACTGTGATAGTGTTGCAATGACAGTTTCAGTGAGGTTCTCTTCATGAGTTAAAAGGGTTTCATTTGAACATCATAACATATGAGTGGACAGTGTTTCAGCTGCTTTCTGTGCGCCTCCTTCCTTCATCAACAGCAATTTCAATCAAATTCAAAAATACTTTATTTAAGGGCTGCAACTAATAACTATTTTAGTTATCGATTAATCCTTTGATTACTCTGATTAATTCGATTTTTGAAAACCGGCACATTCTGCAGATTTGCCATTTAAGCTTATTTTATGAAATATTAGAAATACATAAAAAAAAGCAAATAATTTAATTCCATTTTTAAAACAACAAAGAAGGCTTCTTAATCTTGAATGCAAATATATATGCATATATATATATTTGGCTGACTTACTGCTCTAAATGTGTTTTCAGCAAATGTCGTATCGCGTCTGTACACTCGAATCAACAGATGATTATTAAATTAATTGACAATTACTTCAATCATTGATTTGCCACGATGAATCGAATTGATCGTTTCAGGCCTAACAACAACTGTACCATTTGTGGATACTTGAGTGCAGTTTAAATGAAAGTCATTTCAACTGTGAAAAACATTTAGATTGTTATGTAAAACTAATAGTTAACAAAATACCACGCCTGACCTAAAATACCCCCTCAAAAAAGTGTCACAGCAACAGTTTTATCAAAACAGCTAATTAAAAGAGCATGCTTTTCATTTTCCTTCAACTCTCCCATTAGATTATATTTGCGTGCTGTCACCTGCAGGCATCAGGTGTAGGAGCAGGCCCTGCGCCAGCAGCATTTGGCCCGTCCGCAGAACACACCCCCAACCGCCGTCTGTGGTGAGAGAGGAGCCCGGCAGCTGAGGGAAGCCCCGTCTGTACGTCAGCCACAGGAAGGACGTGAAGGAGCGGCGGAAACGCTCCCTGTCCCCTGAAAGGGTTCAGAGACGGTTCACAGAACTTTTTTCTTGAACTGCTACGACAAGCCGCGCGGTCCGAGCGTTTGGTTTGGTTGGACTCACCGCTGTCTTTGAGATCATACGTTTTCCCCAGCATGATGAGTGGCGAGCTCTTGTTAAATTTGGACTTCTGCTTCAAGGACCAGCCTGGTGAAGTAAAGAGAGGGGTTCATTTAAAAAAAAAACAAGAACTACTAAATATGTGTTGTAGGAATGCAAAGTATTGATTGGTAAATTAATCTGAACTTTTTCATAACATGTACTTTGTCATGTTATGACATTCAGCATTTCATAATATGCTGAATTTAAAAAATCATTACATTTGAACATTATCTTGTGTCAGTTGTATCACAAGATTTTTTTTCTAGAAAAAGCATGTTTTTTTTTCTTCCCTGTAGAATCTCAAAATTTTTGAGTTAATTGGTGGGAATTTTACTTAATCAATAATTAACTGTAAGTAGATTAATTGTTTGCGTCTCTAACATGTAGGGAACAATGATAATAATAAATAAAACAACTGACCATATTTGACGCTGTTCCATGCTGAGACCAGTTTGGATTTAAATTTGCTTTTGTCTTCCGCCACCCGGTCCTCGTAGAACATCTCCTGGCCCAAAGAACCAGCGGACACAGAGGGGAGGAGATCCCAGTCATCCAACTGGTCGACAGCGGCGGACCTGCCGTAAACATAGGTGGAGGACGTGGTGGGGTCCATGAAGGCAGCCGATCACCATATCCGGGTGTGTGGTGCTGCTCCCATTTCTCCTGATCACCACAGAGCTCTGTGCGCCATAAAACACGTGACATAAAACGTTAACCGTTTCCTACCATCCACATGTGACACTAGTTGCCGTCCGCAACGAATCCCACTGGCACAAACGATCTCCTTTCCCACCACGTCGGATCAGCCAATATAAATCAAAGTGAGATAATAAACAGAGACGTGTGACCGCACCCTGCGACTACTAATGGAGTTTCAGGTATGTCACTTTAACTGCTGCTGCAGCTGCTGCTGGTTCCCAGCGACACTTGCACAGTCATGGTTGTCACCACACTGTGGTTGATGCGAAAGACTTCACACACTCTCGGAGAACGCTACGGGCCGGGCCAGCCAGCTGCAGTGCAAAATGGAGGAAACGGGCCAAAATGCATGAAAAAACACAAAACAAACAAACAAACTAAACCACACCAAAAATAAATTAACTTGTTTGTAATGGTTGGTTATAACAAAGATGCATAGATTGGCATTATTGTACTGCTTCGTTACAGATGCTTCCAGTCTGCTGATTTTTCAGGTAAGGGTCAGGAGTTTCACTAGATAATTTGAATAAAAAACATGATAGATGTTTGTGACACAGCATATTGTGAGATAAAAATAAAAGCAAAAAAAAGAAGAAAAAAAGAAAATCAAAGTAAAGAAAAATGATTGGTGTAATTTTCAGCTTAAAAAGTTATGAACTTTGCATGGAAAAATCTTATCCTGATGAAAAAAAAAATTACAAGCGTCACATGTTGCAGTCTGGAGCCACATAAAAATGACCAAAGCAGAGAAAATCTAAATGATGCAGAAAAACAAGGTTTGTTCCTGTTCAACCCTCACTTCACTATCTCACGATGGAGAATCGGCTGCTGGCTGGATGAGCACACGAAGCTCCACCTCCAGCCAGTCCATGACAGGCATGTGACCGACTCTGAAGTGGTGGAGCTCAGACTCCGCGCTCGGTTTTCAAAGAGCTTTGGGGCGCAGCGATCGCAGCCCTCTGGCCGATCACCGATCTTTAGAAAGCCTGGCCTGCCAACTTCAGCTGATTCTAAATTTACTTTTCATAATTGACAGTAGCCAAGTTGTCAAAGTCTTAATCTGCATGACCAACTGTGCTGGCATAACGCATCTCTACAATTCTTCACTTGTTGATGCGGCCGGGTCACATTTTGGACACTGCTGAAGTCTTTTTGTTAGAATTTGTTTCAGTATTTCACCTGCAGATCAACAATTATGACTAATCAAGAAAAATAAAAATAAATATATATGACTCTCTGGTCAATTATTGGAATGCGCCAAGTTACAGTCATTACAGAAAAAAAACTGAATAAAGTTATATTCAGCAGGTAAGATCAAGATCTACTCGCAAAATGTTCTTATTTTTAATGAATTAATTTGCTTTTTTTCTTCTTAAGCATTATGAACATTTTCATTTTCAGGGTGGAAACGTGAAAAAGTGGGTGAGAGGAAACACAATCTACTTCTTATCAACATAATTAGTTCAAGGATCTAAATAAGCAGATTGAAAGCGAATAAAACGTGGAAGCGAAGTTACATTTCAGACGTGGTGGCTTCAAAACATTGATATTTCATCGTTCTGGGGTCGAGCACGTAAAAATCCTGAGGAAACATCCCTTTGTTAGACCTGATCCCGGTTTCTATTCTGAACAGCATGTAGTCATTGCACTTCGTGCTCTTAAATGCAGGTGACTCTTATCAGGGCCAAGAATTTCTACGGGGATTCGCAACGACTATAAATCACCACCGGACCCTTCTGGCGACCGACGGCCGTTACAGAACACGTTCAACGTCGGCGAAACGGCGCTGACCTGTTCTCTGCGGCGGCGTCGTTCCTCCTCCGTCAAACTGCGACACTTTCGGACTCCATTTACGAAGCTCTGCCGCGCTGGGTTCTCGCTGCGCTGCTGTTGCCCCCTCGACTCCGGTCCCACGAACTGTCGAGCGTTGAAATAGCAACAGAGGACAGGCAGCGTCGTCACTTCCTGTTTGCGGTGGTCACGTTCTCGCCCTTCTGTGATTGGTCAAACAGCGGGGGGAGGCTATGGCAAGCCGTTTCAACATAAATTCGATGTCGTCCTGACTATCTTAATTGTAGGCATTTTTGAATTGGAAAGTACCTGTCGTATTTTATAGAAGCTGAATCATTTGATAGGGATTGTTTTTCTTTTGATCTACCCTGCGAGTAATTACACATATGCAATATTTTTAATGAAGCAAAGAGGAAGAGAAAGAGCATATTATAGTCGGTCCATATAAGATAGCCTATTATGTATTTTTCCTACCAAAGAAAACTGTGCAAAAACAAGTTTAGTTGGCATAGAAATAGTTTTTAAGGCTACATTAAAGGTCAGTGAGATCCTTCTGTGAAATCACTGGCTAATTTGAGCCAGACTTTATGCGGGCCCAAGTCTGTTTCGAAGTAGAGTCGCTGGACAATTGTGGCCCTAAGTAAGAGGAAATGAACTTGACTCACGAAAGAAAGTACTTTTGCATCTTTCCATTCAAGAAGACTGGAAGATCTTCTTAAAGATCAGCTCAGATGGCTGGAGGGCCAAATTTAAACTTGCGTTCCCAGGGCGATGCAAGATTTTTGAAAAATGTTCCACTGGTTGTAACACTACAACAATTTGGACCAACATGATTGCATAAGTGAAATAGAAAACAGTATGCACAGAGATGACAGCAAACATGTAGGTTCTTCGCTCTAGACAGGATCTACTGGGTTAGGGTTCTAAACAGAACTTTAAACAGAACTTTTTCACCTAGATGCGCAGAAAACTAACACAAAATACACCACTGAAGAACACACACACACAAAAAAATCTCAGATGATACCAAGGGTTTCTGACACAATTTATTTACTTTCTAGTTGACATTTCATTTGACATTAGTTATTCACAAGAGCTGCTGTAAAAAAAAAAAAAGAAGAAAGAAAAAAAAAGGTCAAACACTTGGACAAACATGGACATGACAGTAATGTTAGCAACTTCGGAACTTACAGAGTGAGGGGTCAGAACCGAAGGGAGAGCAACCACGCATATCTGGTGGGGGTACTTAATGATCTATTTCAATATTGCGCTGAATATTTCCAACAGTACATCGGAATCTTAAATAAATAAATACAAAATTCAATAAATAGAATTAAAAAAAAATGTAAAAAGGCTGGAACTCTGCCCACATAAACGCTCGAAGCCAGATGTTTATGTTCACTGTATGAAAAAAGAGAAAACGAACCAGTTTTTTGAAACTGTTCGACATTACCTCAAACTACGTTTCCTCCTTTTGGTCAGTTATGATTACAGAAATCATTTGTGTTCGCTAAAAGTTAGAGAGAGGATTTTTAAAACTTTGCTTTATAAGACATGAAAATATGCCATATAAAGTATTGACTTGGTCTTTTTAAGCTTCTGATAGATTAATTCATGCTGAATTTAAGTTAAGAGGACCAGTGACTTTTAAGGCAATATATTGCTTCGTTACATGAAATCACAAGAAGATCATAATAAATTAGGAAAAGAATCATACAAAGTTTTGTGCACATTTAATGGGACACTTTGAAAAAACTTCTTCTTTTGATTAATAAAACATTTTGCCACTAGGATATGAGGCGGTTTTTGTCCACATTGAAAGTAGTTTAATTGCAATGAAAAGCCCTTTTCCAGCATCAACGACTGGGTGTCGCCACTGGCACGAACCACAAAGAAAACAAAATGGACAATCGGACCCTGGTTACAAAAAACGGCTTAAAAACCATAAGATCAATGTTTTGAAACATAATAGTAGTTTTAGGCTGAGCTAAAAAGGTGACCTACAAATCCAGGGCAGGACACTGTTGGGGGAAAAAAATATTTTTAATCTTTTTTCCCTGGTTAAATTAAAAACTGAAAATCCTGACTCTGTTGTATCAGTTCTGTCAGACGTAATGGACCAAAACTCCAGAAAACTGTTGTTGGAGACAAATCTAAATCTACGTTACTCTCATAATTGCAACATATAGTTAATAGAGATCATTTTGGTAATCTTGACAAAAGGAAACTTAGCGAAAACCAGACCAAAAAACAAAACAAACAACTGTCTTTTCATACAGTGAATGTAAAGTCCTGGCTATAAATATATCGGTGAAACGCAACATAAAGTGCAATTCGGTTACACATGAAACACTGGTGTTTATTGTTAAAACTACATCATCAGAGATAAGATGAAGATTGCAATTGAGATCAACGTAAACATGTCTGCCTATGCATAAGAACTACAAACTATGCACAACACAAGTTCCACAGAGTGAGGATATCGGACACTAAGGTTCCCTTCTGGCTCTACGTCATGTTGCCCACAAGGTGGCAGTCTAAGACAAGTCTGATACCTATTGCCCTGACACTACATGTTAACACACAACAACAAATCTATGCTCTTCTCACAGACAGTGATGCTCAGTGTTACAGGACTGGGCACTGATGGGATTGCATATTATTTAACATTTTAAGTAAGAAAAAAAACAAACAAACTCCACAACAACAACAAAGATGACCACATAACCTTTAAGTAAAAACACTGGCACTTCCCGTTTCGCCTGGTACGACACCACAAACTGTAGCTGAGCGCGAGTGAAAAAGCGTGACTGAAAACCGCTCTCTCCTCTAAGTGCTACTTTCCACGTGTGTCATTAACCGCTGCCACGCTCTGAACGGACATATTTTACACATTTTACTCTAAAATGTAGAATTGCACATATCACTGTAATTAGCAGACGCAAGTTTTCAAAATGAAACAGTATGTCTCTGATTGACTTATTGTACGCTTCATGCTGTTTTCTATAGTTGTCTGGAGCACAATGTAAACGTAGACACCCGGGAGACACAAAGACGGGACAATAGTGGCATTTGGCAGCACATTGCATAGTGTCCCTGTGCAAGTTCATCGGATTTCTTCCTCTCAATCAGCCCTTTACAGATCTGAGGGAAACTATCTGATCCATCCTTCAACTCTGTCACTGCACGCATTTTGGTTTCTTGGTTCACTTTCTGCTGTGTACAGCGAATCCTCAGCCCACCATACATGAAAAACCATTCTGTTTGCGACGCCTTCAATCACCAAAACAAAGTACAAAATGCCACACAAAAGTATTTATACCCCTTCGACCTTCTGTAATGTTACAACCGCAGCGTCTTTTATTGAAATGTTATGTGACAGTTGGTGTTTTGATGGTTTCGCTGTTGGTGACAAAGGTCAGGCCCAAAATGCTCAGTGTTACAGGAGTTTTTTGTTTCGTGCATTTGCCGACGTTAAAAGTTAGGCCCATTTAGCTCCCCTTAAATTAAAATTTCCAGACAAACTCTGAAGCTAATTTACGTGGCTGTTTTGTAAACTCCCTGAAAAAAGCTTAACTTTGGTCCAAAATTATAATATTCCAGTCAGAGGTGGGCACTCTAATTCGCTAACACGCTAACTGTGAAGCTAATTTTATTTTATTTTATTTTTTGCTAACTTTGAAAACGTTAAGCACATTTAGCTTCCCTCAAGTCAAATTTTGCAGATAAACTCTTAAGCAATAATTTACCTGGCTGTTTTGTAAAACGTTCAGTTGAATAAAGTTTGATGTCTGAGTTGAAGTTTTGGTTGTTGACTTAAGAATCCTTCAAGTAATTAGACATTTATATTTACTACATTACTGACATTTACCATATTCACCATGAACAAAATAAAAAACCTGTTGTATTTGTGCATTTATGAAGAGAGAAGCATAAACGCAATCTGTGGGTGGATCATAGAACATGCAAATTTTAACATCAAAATTAAATTGGTGCTTGAGGGTCGTAGTCTTTTGAGGACAGACATAATTTGAAGTACAGAAAAAATACTGGAAGTGTGGAATGGTTTAGCTGAAAGGACATGGCCCAGTCAAAGTACAAACCTAAATCCAATTTAGAATTTGTGGCGAAAGCTTTGAAAAAGTTCAAGGGGCATTTTTTTTGTTTTGTTTTTTCTTTGCAAGGCATTGAAGGCGTGAAAATTCACTCTATTGGTGACACGTTTTAGTACCCGAACTTCAAATAAATACAGCATAGAACTAAATGACATCCCTGGAACCGATAGCTGAAATGTGAGTAATGCCCTTTTCTGCCAGAATCGCACTTCCACACAGTCAAAAGTCTGCTTGTCAAGTTGAAAGGTTGTTCACAGTGTTTTCTATCTCAAGGTCCGCAGTATAGTATTCATCTTCTGCTTAAATAGTCTGTCATTCTCCCTAATCAGACATGCATGAAGACATATGCATTTCTTTTTTGTTTACAATATACACAACGTGAGATGAGCATACAGTACGTATGCAGGTCTACATCAAAACACCATGTGCACATTTTCACATCAGTACTTGATCATTGACATCTTTTCTACGTCTTTTCTATTTGGTGTATTTTTTAAAAATATTTTTGTTCAGGCATTGTTTTCTCTGCCTCATACTAATTTGTATGTTATGTCAGTCTGATGCTACAGTTAAAGGCATTACATGGGGGCAGTCTCAGTGTTTCTGAAGCTTTCACATCACGAGTGATGCTTAGCGCTCCGACTGTTACCTTTATCAGAGTGAGCAGTGGCTGTGGTGAAGCCCTGGGCCCCTCGGCGGACCCCTGCGGACGAGCCCTCCGCTTTCCCCGCTGCGCTTCCCTTCTTCTCCTCACTTGACTTTGAGGCGTCTTTCGTTTTGCTGCCCTCTTGAGACCCTCCTTTCATGGGACCCAGGACCGTCTTAGCCACACTTGTGAGCTGGGTGACGAAGCTGGTCTTGTCCCCCAGGGACACGGCCCGCAGTTTGCTTGAGCATGGCGAGGCAGCGTTTGAGGAAGGGGACGCTGGGTTTTCCTCCAGGACTTCCAGTTGAGCCTTCTCCTCTTTGACGAGACGGCTGCCGCTTGCCGACTTCTCCGCTCTGTGCCTGGGCGCGGCGAGCGTTTTAGCCGGGGGTGGAACTGGCGGTGCAGGTACTTTGGTCTTCGTCATATCAGTTGCCCTGTTGCCTCCACTGATACTTCCTTTGTCTCCAGTCTCTGAGCCCATATGCTGCTTGAACTGCTCAGTGGTCAATGTTTTCTGGAGGTTTGCTTTCTCTACACCTACAGCGCTTTTTTCTTTCTCTTCTGTCTTCTCCTGAGTTTTGGTAACATGTAACGCATCTGTCTGCACACTCTGCTGCTTTGTGTCTTGTTGTGGACTCTTGGATATGTCTGGAGTTTTCTCGCTAGCTTTGGTCGGAAAGTCTGTCGCCTCCACAGTTGACACTTTTGTACCTAAATGCTTGACCCCAGTGCCTGTTCTGACGTCTGCAGATGAGGTGCTAGTCTTTGTTTCAGCTGCCTTCGTACTTCCACTACTCCTTGCAACCTCCTTGAGTGTTGCCCTGCTTGTATCACCGTTGGTCTTCGACTCTGTTGGAGGAACTGACCTTACGTATGGCAACCCGGACAGCTCAGACGCTGACGGAACAACATCTTTCTCCTTTACTGTCACAAGTGTGTCTCTGCTGAGCAGAGATTCCTGCCTCCCCAGCTTCCTCACATGGTTCAGCGATCCAATCTCTGCTCCCATAGGAGGAGAAGGGGAGGAAGACGAGGACGGAGAGGGTGGAGCAGGTCCATTCTCTCCTTCTATCTCCAGCAAACTCTGCAGACTGTGTTCGCAGTGGAAGGACTCTCTCCTGTAGTCCCCGTGAGACACCTCTAAGCTATGCTTGCGCAACAACACTCCTCCGGTCAAAGGGGAAGGTGACGGCGACGACGAAGAGGAGGAAGGCAGGATGGGTGCCCCGAGCTTTTCTGCGGACTGGACCCGCTGCAGCAGGGGAGACCTGGGTGGCTCGGCGCTCTTGGGACGAGGGCGGGCGACTGGAGGCGAGGAGTGCAGCTTGGCGGGGAACATTTGGGTGGTGTTGGAGCTCCCCACCGTGTGGCCCGTGAGAGGCGGAGGGGAGGAGGTGGTAGGGGACGGGGTGTGAGCCAGGGGGGATAGCGGGATGTTACCAGCGGATTTGCAGCGTGCCGAGCGGTACTGGCGGTGAAGTTTGGGGGACAGGCCGTGTAGGGAGCTGGGCCTCATGTGGTGGGAAGTCGCTGGGGAGTTGGGAGTGCTTGATGCCGGGGAGCTGCTCTGGGACGACGTACCTGAGGACACAGTCATGTTATCACTGTCTTTGATACTAAGACAGTATGTGCATCTTAATAAACAATATCGTTAAACATTGTGTAGTACCTCTATGATTTTACGACTGCCTTTTTGAGTTTTTGGAATCAATTTCACTGACTTTGTAGCACCTCTTTAGGGATATTTGCAAGAAATTTTGCAATGCAAACATTTTGATCTCGGACTTGACATTAAGGAAAGCTGAGGCAGCAGTTTACTAAAGGAAGAAATACTGCCATCTCCAGGTGGGAGTTTGCAGCCTCTAGCTGTGTTTCCATTGACCACATATTTGTGCAATTGGACATTTTGTAAATAAATTTGCTTAATTTTGAAAAAAACCCTCTCATCCTAAAAAAAAAAAAAAAGCCCACCTCATCCTATCTTGGCGATAGGATGAGGTGAGCTTTCTTGGTCGTATCAAAATGTATTTATTTCGCGGAACTTTCACATAAATGCTTTTTTCCCCCACATCAAACTAGTTATATGATACACAACTGGACTTTGTCGGTGGCTTTATTTTACAGACAGCTGTCTTACTAACCCAGATAAGGGGATTCCAGAGTGGAGCGGTAGCTCTGTGTGGGGGAGCGGGCAGAAAAGCTGTGGGTGGGGGACCCCGGCAGGCTGTCTCCAGACGAAAGAGAGCGATTTAAGGACGAGAGGCTCCGGCTGGTGTGGAGCAGGTTGGACTGCTTTGCGATTTTCCTGAAGAGTGAGCTTCGTCTTTTACTGAAAAATAAACAAACAAACACAAAGAAAAAGAGCGATAAGGTGAATAAAGGCTCCTCGTAGAGTTAGAGGAAACAAATCTGTTTTTTGGGGCGTACTCTTGGCCCTCCTTGACGCCGGTCCTTTTGCTGCGACGCGCCATTTTACATTTGTAGCTGATCTTGCGGGCAGGCCCCACCTTTATGGAGGTGTTCTCAAAGGGAGTAGTCGCGACTGTAACTTTGTTTCCACTCTGTGGATTGCACATATTTACGCATTTCTAATCAGTTTAATATACAAGCAGTGTAATAGCAGGGTTTTCCTCCCAAATGTGTTTTTTTTTTACCTTCAGGATGAGCTCCACTACTTCTGTATGGACTAGGCCATGGACCGACTCCCCGTTTACGTGAGTTATTAGGTCTCCAGCTTTAAGGCCAGCTTCCTGCGCAGGACCTCCATCTTCAACATGCTGCAAAGAAGTGGGCAGTATAACATAAATGTAAATACCTTTTCAATGCTTTAAACTCTTTTGTAATTTGTTACAGTACAGCCACAAACTCAAGGGATTTTATGTGGGTTTCATGCTACCCACTCTTACCCAAACCATGTGATGCACGCTGTAAACATCACTGTCTCCTATGTAGACCCGGATCGCCCGGAGGGTGAAGCCGTACTTCTTCCCGGAGCGGTGGATGGTGATGGGAGAGTGCAGGACGTTCACCATGGGACAGAAGTCTCTGCTTGGAGACGAGTCGCGGGAGGACGGGTTGGACGACAGGGAGCGAGGCGACATGGGGCTGGGCAGTGGGGACGCACTGTGCTGCTCCACTGCGCAGAAACACGACAGTTCAGAGTAAAAAATGTGTAAAAAATGTCTTTTTTACATATTTGTTGAAACTGTGACCATGCTGTGACAGTATGGTCTGAAGCAAATAATCTGTGATTTGATTGAGCTCCTCCACCTCCAGATCAGAAACAACCAATCAGAGCACAGAGGAGGGTCTTAATACTGTTAATCATGCTAGTGTACATGCATGGAGAAATAACTTACTGTTCCAGAAAAACTGTTTGTTGGTAAAACAGTCGCAGTGCGCAATAAATCAATTAATAACATGATAAATTAAAGCAAGCTGGATCATTTTCATTTTGTTTTTCTTGTGTCTTTGTTTCTGTATGAAGAAAGGCTTCAGTCTGATGCTTTGGGCTCCACCGTCCCCTGTTCTGAAGAGCAATTTTGTTTATAGAGACTTCAATATCTATGTCATTTGTTGTTTTGGTTGTTTTTTTTGTTTAATAGGTCTATTCCGGGTAAACACTGCTATCGGGAAGAAGCTGTAGCGTAGCAAATAGCAATGGGGAGGGAAGTTCTGGCCAGCACGTACATAAGCTTGATTAACAGCAGTAAGACCTGCCTCCTTGTTCTGATTGGTTGTTTCTAGGTAGCACTGGAAGCACTGGAAGAAGGCAAAGAAACTACATTTTTTTTCACAGATTATCTGTCTCATGCCACGTTGTCACAACATAGAGATAGTTTAACAAACGTGAATTAATATTGTTTTGTAAAAGTTACATTCAGCAGCTAAAGTGATGCGAAGCTTCACCTGCTGGAATGATGACAGACAGAGCAGTGGCCGACGCAGACTTGATGACTTTAGATCCCGGTCGCGAGCTTCGCTTGTCTCCTTCGGACGAGAGCTGCTGGTGTCGGACTCTCCGCAACACCAGGTCCGTGGTGGCCCCACGGGGCCCCTGGAGATCAGGAAGGCCCAGACTGCTTGCGCTGCCTGGCAGCGACGTGTCGGCAGGCCTCAAAAGTTTGTCTAGGACAAAGCAGAACCATGAAACCCAACGGCACATAGACGCTCCGGGGCCTTACCCGATGCCGTGTGGCCCCTACCATCTTTAAGGAGCGTCCTCAGGTCTCCGTGGGAGGGGATGGCCCCTTCCAGGGAAGCGCCCCTGGTCTTGACGGGAGGCTGCTTCCCCGGACCCGGCGGCTCGGCGTCCAGCTCCTGAGGTGAGGCGAAGCGGCTCATATCCATCAGGGCGGAGAAACGCCTGCGAGCCCCGGACGGCGGGCTGGAGTCACTTTCAGTGAAGAAGGACTCTGAACAGGACAGGCGCTTCCTAGAAAAGCAAGGCAACCACACTTAAGAGCATCAGCAGCAGAAGGCAAAATATAAATGAAAAAATAAAAACATAATTTGACCGGGTTTTTTTTTTGTACATTTCCGGTGAACTTGTCCTCCAGCTCTTGTCTCGTAGGGTGACGCTTCCCAAGCTTTCTCGCTTGGCGACCCGGTCCTCCCTGGGAACCTTGTGCTCCCGTAGAGTCACAGTGTGGGGTTTGTGCTCCAGCTGGGACAGATGCTCCATGCTGCTGTACACCTGCAGGTTGGTGCAACAATCCGGTCAGCGGATTAGAAATGAACAGAACATCTGGTCAGAATTTACTCATCTTATTTTTGGCCTTTTTAATGTTTTCCTCAAACTTCTGCACACAGACTCAAATACATATACACCTAAAAATAAAGCATTTATGTTATCTGAGAAATGCACAACCGTGTGTGTTCTGGGATACCTTAGCAATTTTTCTGCCACAAGCATTTCATAGAATTGTGAATTGAGTCATTCCAGAAGCCTCTCAACCTGTTTTAACCTCTTCAAAAGCAGTTTTGATTTATATTTTAGGAATGTGCACAGTTAGACATTAGGAGGCGCTAGAGCACCTGCCCTTATTCCTCTGGACACAAAAAGTGCCCTTCTGAAATTATTCTTTTTTTTTTTTCTGGTGAATTTGATAGTCTCTATAAAAAGAGTGCCATGTAGTTCTAATTTTGCTTGACACGACACCATCACACCCGACTGTATTCGCCCATAGAAGAGGATTAGGAACACCGAAAAGGAATTCCAACTTTAAAGTTAAATTCAAACTTTTTTTTTTTTCTGACTTCAGAAGTCAGAATTCTGAGATGCACATAACGAGTGGATGCAACCGTCTGATTCTGACGGGTTCAGACCTTGCTGAAGCGAGGCGAGCAGGACGAGAAGCGATGGATCTCCACTGGCTCATCGTCGTTGGTGTCATCTTCGTCGTAGGACTGGACGTGATGGTAGCGTTCCGACCGGGCTGAGGGACGAGAAGGAATTCTTTTCACGAGACTCACCGGCACGGTCCGCTGATCCGTTTCAGCAGACTTTTGACTTGAACCCCGCTTTTCCAGGAATGCTACGGGGGGAACTTACTGTCAAAATAACTGGTGTCTTCTTCTGACTCCAGGTGGGGGATGAACTCCGCTTTCTGTCTCAGCAGGCTGTTCCAGTCCACCTCTGCGAAGAACGAGTGCTGCTTGACTTCAAAAGCACCACCTGCAGGGCGTGGGGACGGAAACGCAGGACAAGACGGACAGTCAGGTGGGCGATGACTGCGGCCCTAAAGCCTGCAGGCGGACTCTGACCCCAACAGAAACGGACTAAACTCAGCTGACAGGTGCCTGACCTGTGCCCAGTCGCACCAGAGGATTGGTCTGCAGCAGAGAGGAGATCAGGTGCTGGGCGTCCACAGGAAGAGCCTCGTCTCCGTCTGGCCACACTATGTCATCTGCAGCGAAGAAGCAATTATGAGATGAGGACAATATACATTCAGAGCACGTATCCACATGGAGGACACATGTTAACGTCAACAGCTGCGTTTCCATTCACTGTATAATTACGCAATTTGATGTTTTGAACTCTTGTTTTTGGATAAATGGTTTGAAATGGGATGAGGTTTTTGTTTTAGGACGCATTAAAACTGGATTTTTTTGCAAAACTTTAATGGAAACACTTCTCACAACTGAATGCGCAAACCACAAAGAAGACGAGGACAGGAAGTAATTGGAGAACAATGTTTTCTAATGATGTGTTGCGTGAATCCTCTTAGTCGCATGTCATTCTGATCCAGCTTCTCAGTGAATGGAAGCGCCGCAATTGCCAGATTGTGTTTTCCCGACATCAGCGGAAGATCGATAACGCATTTTTGATGGCAGCGCCGCCAAGGAGACGTGGGAACCCCTCACCTGTGATGACTTGTCCAAACAATTCCTCTGGCGTGTCTCCAAAGAAAGGCACGCAGCCCACCAGGAACTCATACAGGATGATGCCCATTGCCCACCAGTCCACTGGTTTCCCATAACCCTGACGCAGAATCACCTCCGGAGCGATGTACTCCGGGGTTCCACACACCTAAAAGACGAGCAAGACTCGACTGAATCAGTTATTGCCTTATTTTGTGACACTTCCTCTTCTTCCTGCTTTCCTGTTAGAGGTGTGTGCATTTCCTACAACCTGTCTCTGACTAATGTGTTGCGTTCGAGGTGCAGCACCTACAGAAGCGTAACGTCTGGTCAAGTAAAATCCCCTCGCAGACGCCAAGAAGAGATGAAAGCCAAACCCGGTGTGCGTTTTCATGTGCAGATGGCCGCGTGTTGAACGCTAACAGATTTTTTTTGGCTGCAGCATGGGAAATAATGAGGTGTTCAAAGCAGGAACAGAGAATAAAAGAACATAAAGCCGCGTTTAAAAGAGACGGCGTGCGATTGTGACGGCTGGCGGAAATACTGCTCTATTGTTCCGCCAGCCGCTAAAGGTCTCATTTCATCAGGCTTCAGATATGCCTGGCGCACAATGAGAGAGGAATAGCTTTTCACAGAAAAAGGAAGACATCAAAGCATCCCCTTGTGTGTAAAGTTTGACTGCGCCGTATCGAATCCGTCTACTGCTGTGTTGTTGGCAAAATAACAGAAATGGCAGTGACACTGTGAATTTGAGTTATATTTTTAAAGGAGCAGACAGTTTTTTGAGTTTGCTATCATGTTATAATGTTATTCTCTCATCAGAACCGTACCTGGATTGTTGCCTGGATTATTTTGAGAAATCCTTTGATCTCCCATGGCAACCATTCAGCTGTGCAAAGCGCCTGATTGGACTTAGCTCCACCTTCAAGGTGCAGCTCCTCCTCTTTTTGAGGCGTAGCTAACGGTTCCCAAGCTTCCACCTCACAGAGCAGCCCTCCCGTTTGACTCCCCCACTCAGCTCCTACAGACTAGCTAAGAGCAATTAGCAGACGTCTGGAAGGGTTAATAGAGGGGCGATGTCATAAATTTCTTGAGGCGGAGTTTCAGAAAGCAGTTTTTAAAGAGCCAGAAGCCCTGTTTCAAGGTGTTAAGTCAGGATTTGTCTTAAGTTATTTATGATATATACAGCATTTTTATAACGACTAAAGGTAACAGAGTTACTTAATTGTGATTTGAAATGTCATTATGTGCCAGAAAAACACATAAAGAGAGAAGAAATTACTCAGATTTCTTCTAGATTTTTCTTTTTTTATGTCAAACCTTAAAAGTTTATAGGTTTTATTGGATTTTATTGTGCACCAGTGAAACATTGGAAGGATTTTCTTCTTTTTTCTTTCTCTTTAAAATACATATATATATTTGTTTTTACAAATCAACTTCTTTAGCTTTGATAAAATTACGAACAAGTGGATCAGTTATGTGACTTCCGAGGCAGCTGGTTGCAGTTCCCTTTCCGCCTTCAAAAACATGGATTTCACACATTTGAGATGGTCAAATTAAAACATTTGTCAGTGAGATGGTATGATTTGCTTTACCTACTGGTGCTGCATCATGCGAGACAGATTACTCCCCTCTCCATTTCGCTACACATACCTGTTTATCCAAAAACTCCCGCGTGTCCTTCTCTATGTGCCCTTCATACAGGTTGGTGGTCAGACTCATCAGGCCGATCTTAGACAGACCGAAGTCAGTCAGCTTGATGTGTCCCATTGACGTTATTAGGAGGCTGTGAATAGAAAACACACAATCAAGCGTCTTAAAACTCTTCAGCAACGTTTCGAGGTGCAGCAACGCCACCTCACTTGTCAGGCTTGAGGTCTCGGTGGACGATGCCGTAGTTGTGTAGGTACTCCAGCGCGAGGACAGTCTCTGCGAAGTACATGCGCGCCATTTCCACAGGCAGAGCCCCGATGTTCTTCAGCAAAGTGGCACAATCCCCTCCTGCAAACAGAGAATCCGGAGTGTCTTCTGTCTCTCTCACACCTCATACTCCTGTCAACTCGGTTCGATTGGAGACTAAAGTTGCAACACTTGCTACACTTTCAGTTGCTGGGGTTCACTTTCACTCTGCACTGTGTCAAACAAAGCAAACCCTTTGACAAATCTGTTCCCCTCCTCGCCTGTGGTGGCGCTGCACCACGAAGAAGGCGTGATTGAAACTTCCTTCTTCATTAAATGAAAAACAAAAGAAGAAAGGAATACCTTCAGATTTTATGGATTGTAGGATTTCTCTTTTGTCTTTGGTCGAAGACCGCAATCCATTTCTCCTAGACTCACACGTTTGTTTTTGTTTTTACCCAGAATGCCATGTGCTATTGTCCCCTTCCTGCTGTTGAAGACATGTCCAGTGCGATTGCATCGACATATTAACTTGTACCACTTCATAGTTTACTTCAAAAGAATCAAGACCTTGGTTTGCAGGCGGACCAGAGTTTGTTTTGTTCAGAGTTAGAATTCGCATTCACACCTCTTAAAACGAACCGGACTTTCTAGGCAAACAGACGAGAGACAGATACCTCCTTACCCAAACCTTCACGCCTCCCACCTAAGAAAAAGTGCAACAGTCTGAATGCAGGACAGAAAAGTGAGTTATTATTATTCTATGAGTGATGCCGGCTGCTCTGAGTCAGCCGGCATGGAGTGACTCAAGGATGTCCGGTACATTATCTGGTGTTCAGACGTTAATAACCCAGACCATCACCTGTGAATGCAATGGAAAAACTGCTCACTTTTGTGTGAAGAAGTTGGAATCACCGTTGGCTCATTTGCAGGCAGCAATAAAAAAGCAGATCTGTAAAAGCCTGACGAGGATTTATCTGGAGGACTTAATCTGCCCGACAACGCTTCACGCTAAAATAAAACGCCTCCAAAAAGTGAGTACGCCGTTTCAGCTCTTCCGCATTTTGCCACGTCATAAACATAAGCCTTAACGTATTTGTTGTTTTTCCGTCCTTCACTGGCAAAAACAGTGTATAACAGCGACTGCTGAGAAGAAACATGGGCTTGTAATTTGTAAAGTTACAAAATCAAAACTTAACATGAATAATTTGGGTTATTTAGCCTCAAAAGAGAGAAAAAAAACTAGGGTTTATTTTTCAGTCATATTTCAGTGTGTTTAGAACGCCAGCTATCAAGCTATTTAAATATTTAGCTCTATTTAGTTTAGAACTAAATATGTGGAGCGGAATATTTAGTTCCAAACCTTTATTAAACCTAAAGCTAAATATTTACTATGTAAACCAATTACTTAGCTTGATAACTAAATAAATAGTCTAGAGCTAAATATTTAGTTTAAAAACTAAATGATATTTAAATATTTAGTTTTAAAACTAAGCATTTAGTTTGATATTTAAATATTTAGTTTTTTGACTAAATATTTGATTTGTTAATAAAATACTTAGCTTGCTAACTGAGTATTTACTTTTAACCTAAGTATTTGTCTGTTGAGCTATTGTATAAAATCTAACTGATATTGATTCATTTGGTTTGGTTCCTCCCTAAAAATGATGCTCCTATAGGTTGAAATTTTAGAGACAAATTCTGAAAAGCTTACAAATGGTTTATAAACCAATTACAATCTACATTTCTTTCTCAGGCGCCTCCAAATCTCCGTCTCAAAGCGCTCACCTTCCACGTACTCCATGACCATGCAGAGATGGCGGCGCGTTTCGAAGGAACAGAACATGGAGACGACGAAGGGGTTCTCTGCAAACGTCAGTATGTCCCTTTCCACAAACGCCTGCTGGATTTGGTTCCTCAGGATCAGGTTCTGCTTGTTGATCTTCTTCATGGCAAACCGCTGGCGTGTCTCCAAATGACGCACCAAGTACACGGCGCTGGTTCACATGTACACACACACACACACTCTTGATTCACTTCTGTTTAAGACAGATAGACTCCAGAGGATGCTGCGTTGAGCTGCTTACCCGTACGCTCCGTTACTGATCAGCTTGATGGTCTGGAAGTCTGCTTCTCCTGGAGGCTTTATTGCTCTGATCTTTCCCTGTGGATCACAGAGGAGCAGCTGCTGTGATGGATGGGATTCAGGCTGAGCAGAAATTATTTGTATAAATGCTAAAAAATGTTGATTCGGAATGTAAAAAAAAAAAAAAAAAACATTGGTTGGAAGCTTGCCTAATGCTGAAAGGAAAACCCAGAGTGATCCAGGTTTCTGAATGTTAGCAGGAATTAGCTTAATTGGTTGCTTCCATGCAGAGTCATTAGGAAATGGGGCAACGGGGCACTAAAGTTAATCAAACAGGTCTGAGGGAAATAAAAAGAGAGGAAATTCAGAGGAAACAGATGCCTCCTTTTTGATCTATTAGCCTCTTTGTGCAAAATGTTTTGTGAATGCAAAAGTGGTTTTCTTCTTTCCTTCCTTCCTTCCATCACTAACTCCACCTCCCTCCTCCAGATCTTCAGCAGTTCTGTGAAACATTTTGGTCTCACCTCTGTGGAGTCGTCTGTTTCAGGCGTCACTGGTCCCTCGCTGTCGTAACTTTCCAGGCTCACCATGTCTGATAGAGGACAAGTCAGTGGTCAGTCATTCCCTTTCCAAGCTGGGAATTATTTATTTATTTTTTTTCACAATCTTTTGGCCCAACCTTCTATCGGGTCCCTGGTCAGTCCCAGCTGGCTGATGATGTAACGGGGAATGTCAGTTTTCATCAGATGACCCTCCTTGGCGTGGTCCTCTGCTGCCTCCAGGAGATGGTAAAACTCTTCTGGGTTGAACTCCTGGGGACCAGAGCCGTTCAATAAGCTGCTGTAAACTAGCAGACATTCTTTAACACAAAGGTGCAACAAATTCAAAGCTTTCTGAAATCAATTTAGGGGTTGAGCTTCCTCCGAAGTCATACAGTTTTCCTTAAATGTATTTAAATCCCCTGTGAATTTAGGCCAGAGCTCAAATGATGAGGGATAACTTCATGAAATGTAAGGGCTTTTTCTAATTTACATTTTAAGTTCACTGAGATTTGAAATGCCTCGACAACACAAATGATTCCCACACAAATGCGCCAACGCTAATAAGTCGCGAGCATGTCGCTCTTTTTTGACTGCTAATCCGAAACCAATCCGGCACGGAGCGCATCCTGCAGGGCTGCAGCGTCCAGACACAGTCCAACCGCGCTCCACGGATAAACGCACGCCTCTAACGACGCCACAGTCACGGCCCGACCGACTCAGACTGGAAAGCAGCCAATCAGCAGGTCTGCTGGAATTAGCTACACGGCAGCAAGACGAATTTTAATCTAAATGCAAATGTCTTCCCTGGCTGCTCAAACAGCCAGGGAAGACTACGGTGTTTCCCCCGTTTTTGATTTTCCAAAGCCTCTCCTCTCATAATAGATTAGGGTACTTAAAAACGCGTAATGGGCTTAGAAATAAACACACTTGCTCGTGTTTATTTAAAGAAAAATCAATTTCCACCTCAAGTCTCAGGTTAAATCAAACTCACTAGACATTCCAGGAGCCTCGCAGGTCGGGAAATGATGATCAGAAGCTTCTTCACCAGCTCCGTCACAAAGGCTACCTCAGAGCTTTCAGAGCGCTTGAAGGCCTGGCGCCCAGAGACAGAGAAAGAGGCACAAACACGCTGATATAGAGTTAAAAACAGCAGACTGTGCAAAGGGAAGCAAAGAAAGGCAAGATCCAACATGAAGGAAGAGAAGAAACGCAAAATACCAGCAAAAGAGAAAGAATTACCATGTGTAGATTTTGTGGAACAGTGGCATCTTCAAATTGTGCATCACAGTTTCAAATATGCGCAGCTGAGAGCAAAAGTTGGCATACCCCAAATAAAACGTGTGGAAAACATGCAAAAAGAAAATAAAAAATCAGGAACTTTTTTGCGCCGCTCTAACTGCATGACCGTCCTTGTTTTCCTTATTTTTATTTGCAAGTGAAAAAGAATACATGAATCATTTATTTTCTACTACGCCATATTAGGGCCGTGATAAATGCTTAAAAGAGAGGTACATCTCAGAAATCTTGGAAATTTCCAAAAGTCAAAAACCTTCTCAAAATTTCTGAGTTTTCTGTGGAAAATTTTCAACTTTTCAAACTCACACATTTGTTTGTTGTTTCTGGAAAATTCCTGAAGTTAATCTAAACAGTTCAGAGTTTTCTCTGGCAAATTTTCTCAAACTCAGAAATGTCCACATTTTTTCCTAGAAAACGTCTGAAATTAATCTCAAAACGTTCAAATTTCTTCTACGGCAATTTGCAACGACCCTAATACACCACTGCACTTTTCCACTTCATAGTCATGGACTACTTTGTGTTGCTCTGCAACATAAGATCCCTGTATGTGTATGAAAGCTTATGTTTGGAACATCACAAAATGAAACGGAGTAAAGAGCGCTTCTACAAAATCCCCAACACGATCTGTTTTCACTCGCTGCATGCCAGTGGATTACGTTGAACTCACATCATGAAGCAGCTTCTCCAGGTTCTCCTGCAGTTCAAAGAAGTAGACCGAAGTGATGAGACCCTCGCGTGATTTGGCCAGGCAGTCTCTGGCCAGCTCCGCGATCTGGTGATGGATGAAGCTGAGGACCCCGTCGGCCAGAGGAAGAACGCTCTCGGGCGAGAAGGCCTGGGTGAACTCGGCTAGCCTCTCCTCCATCTGCGCCGTGGCCTGGTGGCGATGAACACAGAGAAACATGGACAATGACAAGAGGAAAGATTAATGAGCCAGGATGTGGTTTACAAAAAAGCAATAAAATGAATAATATTTCTTCATGTTATTGAATTTTCTACATTTTATTTTTAAGATATTTTTAAATCTTTATTGGGTTTTACGTTTACAGTATGTCTTGATTAAATAAGATGACTCTGTATGCCTTTAACATTATTCTCTGAGGGGGCTGACGTTTTTTAGATGCGGGCCGTGGGCCCCACAGACCCTGTTCAGGGCGCGCCACTGCCAATCCATAGGAGGGAGCAAACTTAATATTCTCCCTGAATAAGTAGCATTTGTAGCATCACTTAATATGATTTTCAAGCAGGAAGGATATGTGTTTGATAGGATTTGTCCTACTGTAATTCTGCTTTATTGCTTTAAGATAAAGCAATTACTTTGGAACAGAACCAATTTTATTCTCAGTGAGAAAGAAACGTGTTGTGGAATATGTGAGAGTTACCTTTGGAAACCGCTCTTTGTACACATGGTTCATCATGACGATCTCATTGTCATAGCAGGAGGAGGAGCGTCCCGGGCTGGAAGAGAAAAAAACTGTGTTTTTTTTGTTTGTTTTTTTAGAACGAGAAAGGAACTGGCTACTCTAAGTTGTTAGGGTTAGAATATCCATTTTGGATATTGGATAATGTTGTTTGAGATACAGTCATTATCTATTCCACACACAAACTCTCACTGTCTGACTTCAAGTCTGCTGAGATAGAAATTCTCAATCCGAACACAACTACGGATTCAAGTCCTCCAATCTTATATTGGAGAGAAACCGTAATCAGCTGCCATTCGCACAAAGGCAAACAAAAAGCCCAGATCTGAAATCCCCTACATGGTTCTGATTGGTTCATCTGGTCATTTATGATCTTTAATTCTGAAAATATGTTTGATTAAGGTTAGAAACAAATCAAGGTCATGATTAAAGCAGCGCTGGTCTTCATTGCCAAGCCAAATAGTTGCCGATACAAGTGTAAAATCAATTAATTTGACTGTGATTTTGTGGTGATTGACCAAACTACAAAAAAAGGTGTGTCATGTAAAATGGAGGGAGGAATCTGTATTCATCCATTAAAAAAGGAATCAGATTAACCACACTGCCGCTGCGATTCATCACAATTTATCGCGATGCTTAACTTTGCTTGTAATGCACGTTTTAAAAAAAACCCAAAAACAAAAGTTTAAGAATATGTTCTCTTTGTCTCAAACTAAACATCTCAGTTTTCCAAAGTACTGACTTTGGGGGACTGAATATAAATGAATGCCACACTTTATATACTTTTATTTGTAAAGAAAATACAAAAATAAAATTAAAAAATCCATAATTTTCCTTTCACTATAAAGGGATGAAATAGCCTGTTGGTCTGGCACATAAAATCCCAATAAAACCCACGGAAGCTCGTGATTCACTGTCAGCATCAGAGTCCAGAGAAGGAAGCAAGGAAGGAAAGGAGGAAGGAAGGTAGGACGGATTTGTGAAGATCAGCAGCAGGGTTTTGCCTCGTTCCGCTGGCCTTGACAGAAGTAAACAAGCGTATTCATGTCTGTGTAAACAAGCACTGCTCTCCGTCTCTTAACAGCGAGGCAACTTAGCATTCTGTTCGCTCCGGAACGTCACAGAGAAAGAGAGAAACAAAGCGGACGGGGGTGTTTCTGGCAGCGGACGGCTGTCTCCAGCTGACCTGAGGCTGCGGGAGCGCGGGCGCATGTGCGGGGAGCAGCGGCCCCCGTCGTCGTCCGTGATGCTCTCGGTGCTGCCAAAGTGCTTGGATAAGAAGTGGAGCTCGTCCATGGTGGGCTGGGAGGGCAGCTGGTGCAGCCGCTCCTGAGAGGAGCTGGACGACTGGATGGACAGAGAAGAAGGAGATGAAAATGGAGGGTAAGAATTGGCAGAACACGACGCAGCCCGAATTGGAGAGATGAGAGAAATGACGGGCCAGAATATGAGCGGCAGCTCGTGTTCTTGGAAGGAGGCCAAATAGACGAGACTTTGAAAGGTATGTAATTACGGCGTCTGTGGCCCCCACTGCAGATCAAACTAATGAAGTCTTCCTGTGAGCCTCAGAGCCGCCCTCACATATCTGTCCATCACCAGCCTTTTTCATATTCATATATGATTTGTTCGGCCTCGTCAGAGCAGAGACGCCCGACCTCGTCCAATTATTCGTTTCGCCACGAGATCTATCGCCAATTCATCAACAGTGACAGGCAACTCTTTTGTGAGAAACACGTTGGAGTTCTACCTCCAACGGGCAAAGGTCGCACCAATCCTGGGCGCTAAAGTGACTGCAGCTTCGATTTGACTGTGAAGACACCCAGCAGTTTTATGAGTCGGTGTAAATTCATGGTCTGTTGTCTTTGAACACAGAAGCGGGATTCTCCCCGCTTTGTTTCAATCGTTATCTTGGCAAGTGATTAGTCTGCCGATTAATCGGACAAAAAGATTTGCCGTATTCTGCACATTTTTCATTCCACCACTAAAATCTTCATTGTTGACATGAAAATGTGAGTAGATAAATTATTCCAATCCTCTCTCAAATGTAAAACATAAACGTTTTATTGGGTAAAATGCAATGAGAGCATTGTTTTTTTTTAGTGAACGCTTCGGACACTAGCGTTGCAGCTTTAGACACATAAAAAGCAGTTGATTCATTTTTAAATGAACCATCTGAATCGTAAAATGCGCCTAGCCGGAGTGAAGCTAAAACATCCAATCATATTAATGCAAAAAAACAAAACAAAAAAAAAACACCCTAAACTGCAATACAAAATGACAGAGCAAACAAATGAGTTATTATAAATCTAGTTATGCCAGCTACCATCTCATAGTAAGAGGAGAACAAGCCAGTCATGTAGGAGTTTTTGGTCAAATAGAATTACAGAAAAAACTTAAATGTAAAATGTTTGTCCCTCGTACAGTGTCTCCATATTTAGGGATCTATTTTTGAGTACCAATTATTGAATTAGTTGACAGCAATCGATTAATCGCAATTAATTGTTTCAGCCCTAACGGAAATACCACACCGATGCCCACCCAAGTTGGCCCTCCCAAAGTTTAGTCTTCAGTCTAGAATCATAAAAATAATCAAGACTTCAATTCAATCAAAACTTGAGAAATGAGTTGGTCAAAGATGCTTGGTTGTCTCAAAAATAATATTAGACAAAAAAATATATAAAAAATGCAACTTTGCCCAATCTGTTGCACTTCTTCCAATAGTTGCCAGAAATGTTTAATTCTGCTAACGTTACGCATTTCAGATAAGGAAAACAAAAACATTTTCCAGCATCAAGGCGAAAGAGCACATGAAGGAATCGAAGAGGATAAATGTCACATTCTTTGTGGGAAAAGAATCAAAACAACCGATGAGCCATTTTAGCCAAAGATCACTGGGTTTTCTAGTCCCGACAGCCATTTTGAATTTTCATATTGGAGTCTGAGCTGGCATTTCAACTTGAACAACTGCAATGTGACGGATTAGGTAGGAGAAAAAGTTACTACCGTTGAGCTGGGAGTGTTGGTGCCATATCCAGAGGAGGGTAAAGACGCCAAAGACCATCTCCTCCCATCCGCTCTGCAGGGGAACACAAATATCAGCGCCGTCAAAACTACAGCCAATTACTTAATTAATGTTAGGGTCATTTAACGTTAATTAAATGTTAATTAACATTAATTAAACATTAATTAACCCTAACGTTTAATTAAGGTTGTGCACCCCAACCTTAATTAAACGTTAGGGTGCACACTGAGTTCAGATAACCGTCCTGAAATGTTTTGGAAATAAAAAACCAAAAGGTTTGCTTTCATATTTTCGATTCACCCACGTTGTCACACTTGTAAACGTCAGACACAGAGATGGACATTTTTGACTAATTTGTCTTTTGAAAATACAACTCAATCGGATTGGATGTAGATTATTCATTTTCAGGTCACTGTGCGCCTATTTGCTCACCAGATTAAATCTAAAGGCAATTTGCAGCATTGAATTAACAGGGATTTTTAAAAAACAAATATTGTATCATTTTTACTCGAAAGAGGAAATTGAAGGGAAAAATAAACTTTCTTGTACGCAAAGACAGTATATATTGCAAACCAGAAAGCATCTGGTGAACTAAAAGTTTTTTGGGGTTTTTTCTTGCATTGTCCCTTTAGGGACGCTGTACATTTTTATCCATAGTCATGCTCTTTTTTGCGTTGCTTTATCACAGAAAAAAATAAATACATTATTCTAGCAATACGTTTATATTTTGCTCTAAAACCCGTTATTTGAAATCATTTGATTTTAACACCTCAAGTGTAAAAAAACCCCAACAAAACAAAACAAAAAAATCTTCAACAACCTCTGATACAAAATTACGCAGCAAACAAACGACTCATTCCAAATGAAATGAGGACCGACCTCTCATTTAGTGAGCTTGCAGTCAAACAGTGACAGGCAGGCGGGAAGATTTGATAAACGAGGACGAAGTCAGCGTAAGCGGACTTCCTTATACACTTCTCTGACTTCAGAAAGCATCTCTGCGTGCTCTCATTAAAAAGTTTCTTTTGCTCATCCGTTATAGTCACTCAACCTCCATTAGAAAGCTGCCTGAGCCGAGCTCAAACGCAAAGACAATATTGAACTGGTAGCATCAGATTGGAGCTACGGCAACACAACAATCAAATAAGGAAGATCATTTTGCAAAGTAAACTGGCTAAATTCAAGAAAGTATTGAATTAAAAATATATATATTTTAATGAATTTATGCTGAAACCACCAAATAAAATCGAGTTGTGTTCCCAATGCCAGTGAACAAATATGCAGTTTTTGGCGATCTGTGTTCAAATTGAATCATTTACAGGAGCCCAGAAGTGGATTAGTTCACTTTTGCCTCTGTTTGCCAGACGTTCTCCAGCCGGTGGTTCACAGTCGGTATGCATTTCAGCTCTGGTTAATATTTACAGTAAGGACCCTCCAACAACCCGACACGCCAAAAACGACAATTTCCTGCCTTCAGAAAATTTGAAGGCTGGAGCGACAAAGTCGGAGCATAAATTATAATCGTCCCGGCTGAAAACTGATTAACTGGTGTCATCAAAAACATGAGAGAAGATGTTATGTTTCTCCAGTGACAGTAATGGAACCCACTAATGATTACAGCTATATTTTCAGTTATAACATTTTCATTTTGATATATAGACTCATATGATGCGCACTTTGATTCAAATGACCCAAATCTGGCATGCAGGTGGTGTATAAGTATCTGCTTTAAAATATTTAGTAAAATATTTGTGCTTTTAGTACAAGCACAATGACCGTCACATGAATTACATTTTTACTAATTTAACAGGAGCTGCGGTTTAAACAAACCGTAATATAAACATACTGACAGTAGTGTTCACATGAAGCCTCCTTGTCTCAACACGGCAGCAGACTGAGTAAACACAGAGGCGCTGTGATTGTAATTGGGCGGTCCGGTCACACATGACTCAGCTTGTCGTGCTGTGATCACCTGCGACGTCCCGCAGGACGCGTGAAACCGCTAACAACAACACACCAAAGCCGGTAGCAACAACAGATCAACACCTCTGGTCCTCCGAGGCTTATCTGATCCCCGGCTATTTTCTCTCTAAGCTAAACTGACTTCCGTCTGCCTTTTTTATTTTTTTATTTTTTATTTTTTACATACATGATATACATCTGCTTCTCAATGAATGAGAATATAATTTAAAACGCAGTACTTTGTGACCTCTATATGCCATACAGATTCATTTTTCTGAGGACGATGCATTGCTGGCGTTTATTTCTGTTCAAGTGAATCATAAATCCAGTTTGTAATCATTTTTAATGGGAACCCAAATAATCATATTCTTGTGATATCTTAATGGCAAAAGCATCATGTTTGATCATTTTCATTGTTTCATTTCATTGTGTATCATTGCATTCAGGAAAAAACGATAATAAAACAACAAGATATTTTTGCGCCAGTGAAATCAAGATTTTGATGACATTAAAAAATGAAGGGCACAGAAATGTCAGACCTTCTGGAGGAGGCGAATGAGAAGTGTGCGGGGTTGCTGGGGGAGAAGTTTCTGGGGCTGTCCAGGGGGCTGCTTCCTGAGGGGACAGCAAGAAGAAAGCAAACAAGAGTCAGAGAAGGTCACAGAGGACAGAGCAACGGGGGGACGTTTTATCCTGTAACGCACGCTAAACCTGTGGATCTAGATGGCTATGTGTCATAGTTGGTACAGAAAACTGCATGGGACAAATGATTGGGAAGCTGACGGAGTTGAAGGCGCAGATTGTTGATTTTTACAGCTCAAATTCCTGGACTAGACAGCCATAACTACTTTTCTTCTCTCTCTTTTAGCTGTTGTCACAATGTTTCTTATCTTTCCATACTTGGTGACATTTTCGCTTAAAGAAATTAGGCTGATGTTCTGAAAAACATCACCCTTTGCAGTGACCAGTGCTTCGCTGCAAAGGGGGTAAATCAGAGTTGGGTTATATCACAAATCCCACAGTATCAGGTATGTAACAGGCAGTAGACGAATGTTGTTTCAATAAACCAGCGTATGTTCAAAAGCCGTAAGAGTCTGTGGTGTGGTAGGAATAGTAACAGTAAGAGCCACAGAAAGTGTCCTTTTTCGCAAACTAACTGGATTTGCCGAAACATGTGTTATTGATCCGCTGAAGGACGCCGTCGCAGATTGATTTCACTAAGCCAGAGGGGTCACGCTCGTTTTCATTTCAGACCAGAGACTTAGACTTAGACTTAGACTTGACTTTATTGATCCCTTGGGAAGACTCCCTCAGGAAATTATAGTTACCAGCAGCTCACAGGCAAAAATGTGGCACACAGTAAGCATACACAAAATACAAAAAAATACAAATTAAATACAAAACAAAGAATATAAATACAACACAAAAGGAAATTATAGCAATTTGGTCGATAGATTGACCATGTTCATGAATGTCCTCAAAGGCCCTGTTGTGGAAGAACGTGTTGAAGAAACTAACAAACTGTCTCTGGGTCACAAAAATATAACATGACACAGATAATCTTTGAAAGGCTCCTCTGCCTTCTCCAAGTGCAATCTAGAAACAACCAATCAGAGCCAGGAGGAGTTGCTTAGCGCTGTCAATGATGCTTGTGTACACGCTGGTCACAACCTTCTACGCTACAGATTCTTCCCAATAACAGTCTACAAGGAATGCTAATGATAGTTATCATAGCTACTGATGATGGTGGATAAACAGTTTATCCTGCAAAAACAAATTTAGCCCCCTGCTAAAAGAGTATGTGCACATTTAGGAAGAAACACCAAAGCTTGATTGAGAGCGCTAAGACCCGCCTCCTGACTCTGATTGGTCGGGTCTTGACCAAGAGCGTCAAGAAGGGGAGCTGAATATTTTCACACATTATCCGTCTCATGTTGTCACTACATAGTGACGGTTTTAACAAATATGTAAATTTTTTTCAACAAAAGTCACATCCTGCAGCTTGAAGGTGGCGAGCGTACCGAGGTGACCCGGGAGAGGGGAGTGCGGGCGAGGCAGCGTGGGAGACGTGGTCGTCAGGATCAGACTCTTCCTGTTGCTCGTGCGGCAACTGCAAAGAAAGAAAGAAAAAAACAACAACATAAAGACAACAGGAGAAGGATAACGTGTGTGACTTTCTACCAGCAGAGTTTAGTTGGGATACCTCGCACCGCGACGGCAGAAATGAGGAGAATTTAATTTCCTCGCTCATTCCAGCCGGTCGCCTCGGAGCTGACATTACAACACAGGAGCAACGGGAGGAGGAGAAAAGTGCAGGACGGAGCCGCTCTTCTGCGACTTCAGCTGAACATATTCAACCAATCGTCACGTCAGATCTACAATAATCCAACTCTCACACATAGAAAAACGTGAATGACTCCATAAGGTAATTCATCTATCAAATATCACATCCCACAAAGGAAAAAATAAGAACTTTCCCAACTTATTTCATTATAAATAATGAAAAATATTAACAAATAATTACAATTTATTTTTTTATATAGTATTAATATAGCATCATAGTTATTTATTAATTTTAGTTCCAATCTTTTTATTATATTGAATATTTGTCTCTTACTTTCACATTGTGTAATTACTTATTTTGACAACTTAAAAAAAAAACCTCAATGTCATATTTTCTTTTATATATATATATATATATATATATATATATATATATATATATATATATATATATATATATATATATACATATAATATGTTCTGCATTTATTAAAATTTTTAAGCAGGATCCGAAGAGGAGCAAATAAATAAATAAATCTATGATTACAAAATTATAGTGAATAGAGAGAAATATTAGAAAAAATTTTCAATAGGAGAGAAAAATTCTAAAAAAACATGTCGGTAAGTGGAAAGAAAATTGTATTAAATAAATATGCAATATGAAAAATGAAACTATTAATAAAAGAAAAATAAATCAATAATAGTTGTTCATGAACTGAGAATATACTGGTTTAATGGAGCTAAAAAAATAAATAAATAAATAAACATTAAGAAAAAAGCCAACACACAAAATTATTTTTCAATCTTTGGATCCAGAATGAAAATTTCTTACAAAAAAAGCTCACTTTTTTTTTAAAGACTTTTTAGAGTATATTCAACCCAGCTTCTTTAAACTTCATAAAGCTTTTCCACGGAACAAATAAAAACAAAAACAGAGTAATGCAGAATGTTACTCTTGTTTAATGGATTGCCGGCAGAAACCGGCTGAAAACCCACAGTGACGACCTTGAGCCGAATACCGAAATGCTCTCAGCACAGCAGCACATATTCAGACAGAGCGCTGCAAATGCAAGCTTCAAAATCTAAGCGTGACGCCCGAGGCCTGCTTTCCACCGGACGGTCGGTTGAGATAGAAAAAAATAAATGAAAACGGCAAGAAAAGCACTCCGACGTACTTAGGAATGATTTGTAGCCCAGGGATCTGGACTGATGTTTGAATGATGAAGCAAAAAAAAATAATTTAATAAAATAATGGAGAAAGTCTTGTCTGGAACAAACAGGAAATTACAGCTAAACAAACCAAAATGGTAGTGGAGAGTCAGTAGAAGAAAACAAAAAAAAAGTTGTGTCAGAAAAGGTTAAAAGTTGCTGCTCGTTCGACCAAAACCGAGGAAACATGGCCCAGATGTCCTTCTCCGGACCCAAACGGGCCCATAAAGCGCCAGCTGTAGGAACAAACGACCCTAAAGAAGGAGAAGCTTAAAAAAAAAAAAAAAGGTTTGGGTTGAAATTTAAAATTTAGGTCATTTAGCTCAGAAGAGACAGAGAGGTCTCTTCTGAGACCTCTCTGAGAATAAGCGGAGGGGAGGTGGGGGGAGAAAAGAAATTTGCCACCCTCTAAAAGCTCGGAGGGGACGTGGCGGAGAAAAGGAGGAGAGTTCACGTGACGGGTTGTTGCTACGCAGAGAGCATCGGGGAAGACCGCCGAGAATGCCAACCAGAGAGCGCGGGGATGGAGGGGGGGGAGGAAGAGGAGCAGGGCAAACACAAGAAATGATCTAATGGTGAGACAATGTGAAACGGCAATGAGGTCGCCTGCGTCAGGAAGAGGAAGCTGGGAGCAAACTGTTGCGTTAGGAGACGAGTTTGGAAAAAGGGGTTGAAATGGGTTTCCTGACATGACAGTTTGGAGGAATGAACTGGTTTGTTCTGATTGCGAAAAGATTGGCAGCAACAGAAATAAGCAAAGCCAAACAACAAGAAAAGAAAAGACGCAAGGATGAGAACTCAGAGTGGGTCGGTAAAGAACAAATTATTACCGCATGTAAAAATGTAAAAATTATGAATACGCAAACAAACAGAATTGCGAGAGGAAAATGACTCTTATCCCCATATATGACTTAAGAGTTTCATATTGGTCGTTATCAATAATTATTGATTAGTTTTATTTTTTAAATATCTTAAATACTACTAAACTGGTGTTATTTTGTGTTTTTAAGCTGTTAACATAAACGGTGGGAAAACATGAAACTGCTGTTGCGCAAGATTCTCAACTAGCAACTGAGCTAGTTGATGGGACAGACCGATCTTGCACAGCTGGCTGTGCCTACATCTCCCAGAATCCTGTGCAGTTCTGGATCGGAACGTTCCAGAATATATTTCTAGGGTTATAACCACAGCTTGTCAAGTGTTGTTTGGAAATGTTCGATGAAATAATACAGTTCTTCTAATTAAAACGATAATTACAAGTTTGTCAAAATAATTTTTTCTTTTTTTTCGGTGCAGAAAAATAAAAACTCAGATGCAAACAGAATCTTGCTGGAGAGAAGAAGGCAGAGAGCTTTACTGGAAACATTAAGCAATGGAAGATCCCGCGCGATCCGCCATGAAGCGCCGGGGAAAAGCTGCAGCGGCCTCGCTTCGACCTTGCTTGGTTTACAGCTAACTGCTCGGCTTGTTTAGTTAAAGTCCAGGAGTGTTTATGAGTAGAGAATGTGAACATTTAGCTTTCAGGTGTGTGAAAGATTTGTAGCACACACACACACACACATACACACACACACACACACACACACACACACACACGCACGCACACGCACACACACACCCACACACACGCAAACACACAAAACTGCAGGAAGGTGATGTCTTTGTGATTGTGCCGTTTCCACAGACACCTGAGCCTCAGCACCCGAGAGACAAACACACACATATGCATATTTTTATTTCCTATTACAACATCTGTTTTTTTTTGTTGTTGTTGTTGTTTTTTTTATTCTTTATTACCATTTTACTATTTTACAATCGTTTAGATTGGCTCTCAACCAAGATAGATTTAGGTTTAAAATAATGTCACCAAACAAAATAAAAATATGCAAAAAGCTGGTTGGAAGCAAAAGTATATCATATGATATATATATATATATATATATATATATATATATATATATATATATATATATATATATATATATATATATATATATATATAAAATAAAATCTAATAAAAACCCTCCACTACTGTAGAACAGCCTTAAAACAGTTTTTAATAATACAAAATCCGAGGAGCCTCTTGTCCTAACAAAGAACTTAATTCAAATTTAAGTGTTAAAAATGTTAACACTTAAAATGTTAAAACAAATTTATGTGCATAAATGCCTTAGAGAAAATGAACTTGAAAACAACACTAAACTGTAGTTTAGGTTCAACCAAGTTCTTGAAACTTCCTGTAAAAGGAACCTGCACACAAGCCAAATGCTGTCAATCACTGGATCTAGTCTCCAGGTAAACAAAACAAAAACAACGGAGTCACAGCTAGAAATGTGTCTTCCACGCTCTCGTTTCTCAGTAAACGGCTCCCTAATGGAAGAGCAGAAGACACGACATTCCCAACACCTCCACCCATTTCCCTTACAGTTTCCTTCACTGTCACTCATCGTTTCTCTAAACTCCTTACGCCTCTACATTGTCAGGTTTAGGAGCTGTGAACATTTTCTGACACATTAAATTATGATATTCTCATTTTGAAATGATAAGACAAGGCTTCTTCTTCAATAACCTCAGAGTGGTTTAAATCATTTATTTTAAATCACAACATTGGGTTGTGACAAGGTTTTGGATTATGGTTACAGACAATTTCTGTAGGTGTGCCACAGGGCTCAATTCTTGGTCCACTTTTACTTTGTAAAATATTTACTTGGTGCAGGTTTCCAGATGTGTGAAAGAAAACAAAACAAACAAAAAAACCTTTATTTTCCATTCAGTGTCCACTCTTGTATTTGGGAATCTGCTAATTATTGAAGAAGTTTAATCATTTTAATAACATTAAAAAGTTGAGAATTTTGTCAAGACGTACCGCAGAGGTGCAGAAGCTAACTTGCACAGGCATAGACTAATTCAAACTCAACAGAAGCATAAAGTAACAACTGTGTGATAATGAATGATGACATTTCTTATTCCTTACTTATTACAAACTTTTGTATTTATACGTTAAACTGTGTGCATTTCCGTTTCATGTCAGTGTTGCACATAGATAAAGCCCAATTAAGGACAAACATTGCAAATGGAACAAAAGTAATTGGGCCGTGCAAATGAAAATGGACTCCCACAGGTGATAGTAACTTTTGTTACAAATCACGCTGGATTTGAACATCATTTCGGACAGCAAAGCAGCTCAGACGTCCACATTTCTGATCACGTGTCAGGCCACAGGTGGACATTGGCAATGTCTCACAAACCGGGAACAATGATGTCACTCAGAAGCTCAGCAGGACATCCACTGGTGACGGAGCCAAAGAGGAAACCCCTGGAGCTTGAATGTCAGCTTTAGTTCCACTAAAATTTAATTAAAGCGAAGCTGCACGCATTGTTAACAGAATTAATGCGTTTCATATTGTAATTTAAATTATGGTCACTACTTTTTGTTTTTTTTACCGCGTGCCATTGAATAAGTGCATCAGAAAAATCCGTCTCTCACTTGATCCGTCTGACTCATGTAAGCATTCGCTGACTTTTAATCGGTCAACCTGAAGCCGGGCCATAAATTTCTATATATGAGTCACCAAAGCCACGTTTCAATAAAATACTCTGCTACATCAGCCAGAGTCAAACCAGACAAAATGTCAGAACCAGGGCCAAACGTTCGTGATGACCTATCATTTTAGCCTATATGAAAAAGACTTAAGGATCTTGCTATTCCTCTGTTACATGCTTCTATGTCTCAGCCAAATCCCTGTGTACATTTGCAGATCCCTTCAGTACCGACAGCCTGTCACCAACCTGCAGAAACTCTAGTTTTACTGGTTCCAGCTAAGCTAGCTAACTTGTAAACAAAGTCAACATGCTAACACATTCAGAAGTGTCTTCAAATTCACTCCAGCACTCGTCCGGACAAAACTCCCAGACAGTCACCATTTAAGTGAAGCTATCCCCCTTGAGTTAACGTTTGTCAAAATGGATCCCTAGCTTAGCCTGCTAAGAGGAAAAAGGTGGTGGTGGGGAGGGACTGCTGGAAAACAGAACTTGAAACGATTATAAAAAAAAGGAAAAAGGAAGTATTTTCGTCCTTATCCAAATTTGTTTTTTAACATTTAATTTCTCAGTTTTTGACAATATGATTAGGAACGCATTCAGCCCTGCTGTTGCATAAAAAAGTCATTCAACCAACAGGCAGGCTAAAACCATTTGGAAAACCTTGAGAAGCTTCTACATTGTTAACTAGTTCAGAAGTTATTTCTTCAAACGATAGAAAAAAAAAAAAAAAAAAAAAGAAAAGGCAGCAGAGATATAATACCAGCTAACCATTAGCTAGAGATGCTAGGGTTAGCGACTGCTTTGGAGCTTCCTATATGGTGTAAACTGAGGCCTATTTCACAGGTTATGAGTCTATATTTGTTCACCTCTAGTTCAAAATCTAATTGTAGTTATTGCAAACTACAATTAGATAATTCCACCATAACATAGGATATTTTTTAACACAGGCTAGCAGAGATTAGCCTATATAAAATTAAAAACATAAACATTTTTTTTGCTATTTTCCTCTTCCACGAACAACTTTACAATCAGACAAGCATAAAAATCTGTTTTTATTTATTCACACAGTTAGATTTCCTCCTCAGCAGGTATGTTTTTATGGCCATTAATTTAAATTGGGTGTCTTTAATCAGGGAGCCATGAAGGACAATTGCATCCACGGCCCTAGAGCTTACCCAATGTCATTGAATTTCCTTAAACTTAACCTCTTGAGCAAAAAACACATTTGCTTAATGTTGACCAGCGAAAACTCTGGCGACAATGCACAGCCGTCGCCAATTCCTTCGCAGTCAGTGACAACAGTAATGCTAAAAAAGTGATGTCATGAGTGGGAGTCTTTGCAAACCACTTCCTCTGGTTCATCATCAAACTGGCCTGGATGGATACCACAAAAACAGCCAGTCCAGAAAAACAAGAGACGTCCACTCAGCTTTAGGAAATGTAAAATAAACAATTCATCCCACATCAACACTTTCAGACCTTCGGCAAGATAGTAGCAACTCAAACTCACAAGGTTATTACGTCACACCTTTAGACTTCACAAAAAAAAAAAAAAACATACTGCTAACACATTCACAACCACGAAAACAAGACAAAAATCCTCCCCATTCGATATGCCAGCCCTTTGCGGTACCTTTTAGTGCGTCGGAACATGCTGCCGGTTGGATTTCTGCTGTGAATGTATCAAGGCACAAAACAGAGACTATAATTTCAGCCCGCTGTGACACATACGGTGGGTCCCACATCCTTTGGCGACTGCGTGTCTGAGCAAGTGAGTCCAAGAAGCAAAAGGTGAGGGAGGGAAGAGAGAACAAGAGAGAGAAAGAGGGAGTGCTGAAGGGAGGAAGGGTGGGTCGCTCTTATAGAAAGGAATAACAAAAGACAGCAGGGGATTATGGGCCCTCTTATCCAGGTTATGATGCACTTTGGCCATTTCTGCTTTCGACTCTGTTAAAAGCTCTCACTGCAAGGCACTGCGAATGAAGGAAGCAGAGGAAAGAGATGCTAGCTTTTCACAATGACTGAAGGGCGACCGTAGTGTGGAGTGTGACGCAACAACGAGAAAGGGCTTGAAGTGATGGGAGATTAAGAGAGCACAGCTAATTGGGAGGTAGGCTGCGTACGCAGACAAGCTGTGAACGGCTGGGTTTACCCTCGAATGGATGCAGCAGGCAAACCGAGCGAGGAGCCAACTCCACTCAGCTCATCCATAATAGAGGGCGGACTAATGGCTTCCGACTGAGGGAGACGGCATGTGATGAGCGCAAGCATCCCAAATTTAAAGATCACTTGGTTCAAATTTTGTTCATATTGTTTTTGTCCATTTTCTTGCATTTTATATTTAAGCACTTTAGAAAGAGGAGAAAGAAAAAATCCCATATTTGTTCTGGCAGGTTTTTGTTTGAGTGGGAGATTCCTTCATGGACAATGACTTTGCAATTTCCGTCCATGAGGTATTTTGTCGGCTTGTAAAAACGAGGCCTTTTCCTACACCGTTTGCTTCGCCCAGAGGGTTTGAGGGTCTCCAAGAAGCGATTGCTTCCTGGAGGCGTGGACTCTGTTGAGGTTTTAAATTGTACCAACCTGCTAACATCTGCCCGTGACCCATGAAATGCATTACTAGCTCGATGCCAAGAAGCTGGAAATTGTCTGAGATCTAAACAACCATCCTCCAATGCTAAGAGAGACGTGCAGAACCGAATGAGGTGGCTGTTAATGTTGATTCAATGTCTGGAAACTTTGCCAATTCGGACTGAACTTCTCCGTTCACTTCCTGCTGTTGTCATTGCTAAAACTACAGGCAGACTACAATTCTAAAACAAAGCAGAAAATTGAAATTGTCGTTCATGACTTGTCCTGCTGTTTGCTGATTGGTCCGGTGGAGAATCTACTGGAGACAAACCAAGTCAATGGGAGAAATCCTCCTTGTGAACAAGACGATACAATTTTGTCAAGTGGCTAGGACAACAAGAGCCGAGTTTGACACTTAGTATAAAGTATGAGAAAGCCTTAAAGCAGCAGTTTGTAACTATATTTTTTTTACATATATTTGTTGAATCTGCCACTATGTCACAACGCTACAGTTTGACACAGATAATCTATCAAAAAAACAATCAAGCTCCTCTGCTTTCTCTCAGTGCTAACTACAAACAACCAATAAGAGCCAGGAGGCGGGTCTTGGCGCTGTCAATCACGCCCTCTCATCCCTCCCGCCTTACTCTGTGCTCCAATACTAAAGCTAGTTAGTGTGGCCACCCATGACGGCGGACAAATGTTTTTTGTGGAACAGTAAGTTGTTTCTCTGAGCACATTTAGCAGCATATTCAGAAGATTGATTGACAGAGCTAAGACCCTCCTCCTCCTGGCTCTGATTGGTTGTTTTTGGAGCGGTACGTTTTTTTTTCTTTCAGACAGCCACAGTAGCTCATGGAGGAGGTGGAGGAGATCGATCTTTTAGCAGATTATCTCACTCATCTTATAGTGTCACGACATAGCGACAGTTTTAACAAATCTGTAAAATTTTATATTTTATAAAAAAATTACTGTTGGAAGATGGCAGAACAGTCTTCTGCCACCTTCCAAACAAGCAGAAAAGTAGATGGAGGGGAAAAAAAATGAAAGTGATGGCTGATTGACCAATAAGCAGTGGATATGAATTATTTTTCAGCACCATGGACAGAATCCACAGACGTCAGCCGGTCTTAATCAGAGCCTCACACACTCCAACCCTCACACACACACAACCACCAGAAACCTGGTGAAGCTCTACTGTTCGTTTAAGAGAGGAAAGGAGGGGAAACAGTGGCGAGCGGGACAGGAAGTAAACGAAGGGAAAACACTCACCTGCTGTTCTTGCGCGGCAGCGGCAAATCCTGCTGGCAGCAACATGGAGGAGGAGGAGAATAAAGAGAGAGAGATCAGGTGCGAAAACACAAAACAAAAAAAAAAGAACAACAACCCCAAAGCTGAATTCATGTGAACATTTAAAGACAGATGCAGCATTTCCCAGATGACGTCATCGGTTGTTGGCAAGCTCCGCTGATCCGCCTCATTTGCATTTGCCACTCCTGTAAATCACTTAGAGCCTGTAGGAATGTATTATGCAACTTTGATACTGTCTATATCATTAGATGGAATTTATTTCTTTATCTTCTTCTTCTTTTTTTTTAATTATTGTAACGCACATAACTACAGCTGCTTTCCTCACATTAACCATAAATCTGCTCTAATGGAAATTATGCTTCTCAACAGCCTCCTTTAATTGTGGTTGAACACATAAATGAAATACAGTAAAATAAAATAAAATAGATAAATAAATAACACATTCAAATGGAGCCCTTCTGGTGTGTAACTCTATTTCCGGTCCCCTCGGGTTCCTCCGCCTCAGAAATTAAAAACCTGCTGCGCCGTCGTTGACGTCAGACGGTGAAGTGGAAGGTGAAGGATACACCATTACCAACGTTAAAAAAAGACGAATAAAATATGTAAATCTGAAAAGTGTGGTTTGCATTTTCATCAGCCACTTGGAGGAAAGTGTAGTTGAAACCTCAGTCGAATTTTGTGGAGAGCGAGACGTGAAAATCCGCATCCAGGTTTTTCCACGCAGATTCTTTCAAACTTTGACTTCATTCTAACGCAGAGCGTATTTGACGTGAACAATCCCTCTGTAGCTCTGGATCGATGTAAAGGGCCGTTATTCTGCTGGAGATTGAACCTCCACCCCAGTCTTAAGTCGTTTGCTTTTCCTTTCGGTAAGCCTACAGTACATATAGCATAGCGAAAACTGCATGAGGACGCGCAATGGATAGAAAGAGGCCCAGTCTGAACGCTGCTCCCTTGCCTCTGCTGCTGCCACTGTAATGTTTCGTACCGGATTTTATTTATGGGTATCAGGGAAAATGTGGCTCGACACAGATCTTTGAATTTGTAAAATATGTCACCGAAAATTCAAATAAAAATACATAGAAGTTTTTGGTTTTTTAGCAAGACGAGATGAGGAAGAACTCAAAACACTTTGCTCCAGCGCGACCTTTCCCACTCCTCGCCTCCGGGTCAGGAGTCCAAATCAACCCGGACGTTCAGCTGCGTGCCTCCTGGGTTAACTAACACAGCGCTCTCCTCACAAGGTTGAGTGAATATTCAACTCATCGATCCCTCTTCACTTTGTCCTTCATTGATCTGGCTAATTGGCCCTGGGCTGTCAAAGCCAAGAAGAAAACAACTTACAAGAGCGAGACGCATTAAGAGAAGCCCGCGTTAGCAGGACATGCTAACATGCATATCAGTTTTAACGCCTCAACTGGAGTGAAAACTGTGTCAAAGCAGAACTGGCGTTACACGCAGTGCTGGTTAGATTTTACTGTGATTCTTATTACATCCACATTATTATTATTTTAAAAAAAAAGAGAATAGATTTAGTTATGGAGGTTTGAGGTTTAAACGCTCAAATATGCTCACACATCCCCACTGATATTTCGTCATCCTCCTAAAGTAGTCACTTAAGAAAAAAAAGAAAAGTGACTTATCATTTTAGGAAGGTGACAGTTTGGGGGGAAAAAATGTGTCTTAAAATTCAGCATTAAAATTCAAAGTGTCGATGTCCCGGAGCAACGACCTTCAACCAGCGACGCAAATATCAGGTAAAAAGGTCAAGAGCTGCAGGAAGTCATCAAAAAAGATACTAAATGTGTAACAAAAACAAATTGTTTCAATGCAAAATATTGTTGAGATCTAATAATATTTTTGCCCTGATCGAATATTTTTTTTTTATTATTAATTAATTTATTTTATACATGTTGAATAAGCAGTAACCAAATGATTGTCATCTCACATCCAGGTAACCGTGTCAAAATTTTTTTACAGCTAGGAAATGAGCTTTGAGTGTGTTAATACATTAACCCTGGTGGAGCACATGAAGCAGACCTGCTCAGTTTACATGGACGTAATTAATTTGCTAAAACAAACCGAAGCCGTCCTTTAGTCGTCCCAGCTTCCATGTTGACATCATTTACCAGTTCAGAGCATAGGGAAAAATTTTTTTTTCCTTTACAGATCTCCTCTGTTTTTGCTTTGTTTTGTTTGTTTTTTTTCAAACTGAAATGTTTCATATCATTAAATTTCAATATCAAACACAACCAACAATGACCTGAATTTGTTTGAATCAAACATGTGCTTGGTTTGTTTAAAGGGGAGTGTTATGTATTTTCCATTTTATAGCACTACTGTTATCTCCAGTTGCTATAAAAAAAAATGCTACATGTATCAAAATCTGACTGAAAAGAAATTTGATGTATTGAAATTGGGCCTTTGTCTCTTTAAGATCCCGCTCTTTCTGAAACTTCAGAAAGTCATTGCAACAGGTAATGTTTCACTCAGAATTAGCTCCTCGAATAAGCGAGTATTGAGTGATCATTTCACAATTGAGATTCTGTGACATTGGGGTTGATTTACGAAAAAAAAAAAGTGGAAAAAATTTATTTTGTCACTGATTTCAAATGCTTGTGGCAGAAGTTGTTGCTCACAACCAAGTTGTTAGGTTGGGCTTGTTAGTAACTTTTCGACAGAGGGCCAGGTTGGTTTAGATAACCTCTCACACAGTGATTTCATCCAGAATGAAACATAAATAAATTAAAAAAAATCACATTTTGTAATATTCCCACAGCTGCTGCTGCTCAAAGACTCACTATTTTAATAAAGGGAGGATAAAAATTCAATATATTAAGATTGGAACCAAAAAAAAAAAAAAAAAGCTTCTTTTCTCATATGTGGGTCTGACCAAATATTCTGAAGGCCGTGGCTCAAAGCATATTCTCCTGTGGTTTAATTATCTTGACAGAATAGCGTGCTCATTGCTCACAGATGCAGCTCAGAAAAACGTCAGACCAAAAGCAGATGTGGGACGCCGAGGGATCTGCGCAGCTGAGACTAAAACGCCAATGAATCTCTCCGTTGATGTAGGTCGACTGTTTTCACAAAGCACCTTCTGATCTCTCGCGATTCCCGACCACGTTTTCCGAGTTGAGCATCAGCTCGCGGTTGATCCAGGGTCGTTCTGGATCCTCGGCAGACCAGAAAGCTGAGATTTGAGCTAATAAGTGATGGTCTGATCCTTTTAGCTCCAGGCTGTCGGTCCGACTGGGTTAGCATGTGAGCATGTGTTCCCGCGATTGAACGAATAAAGGGAGGGAGTGAAAACATCAAATACTCTAAGACGCTCTTAAGTAGAGCTGTCTTAGGGTATCTGGGCCTGATGCAAAAATATTTCCATGTGCAAACCAATATTAGGGCAGGAATTTCATAATTACTAACGACGCTACACTTATTTGACACACTACTCGCAGAAATGCTAACATATGAAGTCGCGAAACAGTAGTGACCCCACTCAGAGTTTTTGGTTTTGGTGTTTTTAGCGTCACTGCATTTTAGCTAACGGTATTGCCATGCAGCTGCGTTTCCATCCACCTTAGCAATGTGCAATCTGACGTTTCGAAAGTAAATCAGGAAGCACAGAAATGTCAAAGTAAGCTCTGCTTTTTTGATTAAAAAAAACAACAACGTTGTGCTAGGATTAGTTGGCTGTTTTGGATGTATCAAAACTGTGATGGAAACTCTTTTTTTTTGGCATCACAAGACCAGCAATCGGACGTTACCGCTGGCGAAATCTACGAAGAAGAAGACAGGAAGTGGTTGGAGGAAGATGGCGTAGTATGTTTTTTTTTTTAATGACTTGTCACATGAACAAACTAATTCATGAATGATTTAAATTGTGTCTCTTATTTCACAATTTCATCATTGTATGTCTTTTTTTTACGTTGCCGCAATGTTGACAACATTGGTAATTGGACCACAGCGAGCATCAATTCTTCGGTTGTAGTGTTGGAAACACTTCTGCTAATAGCGGAGCAACTTTCTCATTTAGGGTGTTAGCGTTTAGCCTAACTTTGAAAACATTTAGCTCACTTAGCTTCCAGATAAATTCAAAAGTTCTAATTTACTTGGCTGTTTTCTAAAATTTTGCTTTCGTCAAGTTCTACATCTGTGTTAGAGTTTTGGTGATTACCAATATGGTTGAATTTAGCATGTTAGCATTAGCTTCAGCTAAATACCTTGTTTGTATAGCTTTGTATTAGCTCTGTTGCTTTAGCGCAGCTAACTTTCTTATTAACGGTGCTGGCTGGAACTGTAAGTAATAGCACATGATCAAATCGAGGCAGTTCTGTAAAAGTATTAACTCAGGGAGGTTTGTCTCTTTCCACTTCATGACATAAAATCCAAGTAAAACACTGACATTTTGTTGTTACGGCAAAATGGGAACAGTTTCAAAGGGTTAAACTGTAAGTTTGAGCACATTCCTCATGGACGGTTTGTGCCAATTTACTAGCAAGTGAGAACGTGACGAGATTTAAGGTGTGCTACGACATGAGGTATGGCCAGTCAGGGACAAACACTAGAAAAGTCATTCGTAAGCTACAGCCAAAAAGGCCTCTGACGACTGAAGGACACAGAGGAGGCTGCACTGAAGAAATGAGATGAGAAAAGGAAAGGAAAGAGAACCCCGGTTATGAGAAAACAAGATTAGCTAAGCAGTATGAATATAAAGTACTCTGCTCAGTCAGGACGGCGAGGCCGTTCATTTTGTCAGACTTTGCGCTCAGCGGGACAGTGGAGAGCTGGCCGGGAGACAAACGACAATCAATCGGAGAGTGTTAGCATGCCAAGAGAAAGCGGCCGGACCAGGAATCACCTACGGCCGCGACTTACTGACCGCTGACAAAAAAAAAAAAAAATGAGTCAGACTGATGGAAAAGCTTAACGAGCTGCACGTTCACAAGCTGCAGACAGTGCTCCACGCAAAACAGTCGACCGTTTTTAGCAAGTAACTTTCTGAAATACGATTAATATATTTTATGCAATTATAATCCAAGCTTTAATGTTTTCTTTAAAGATCTGATAATCAATTGGACCACTTCCTTGAAAATAAACAAGCATGCGGTCTTGTCTCTGTGTTATTAGGTGGCACAAAGACCACGCTCTTGTTATGTAAGTCATGTTAGAAAAAGCCTGGTGGTTGTGACCCCTGACCTCAGCCACAGAGAAGAGGGGTGTGTCACCATATGGTGCTGAAAGAAGGGCTGCGTATGTGTGTGTGTGTGTGTGTGTGTGTGTGTGTGTGAGAGAGAGTGAGTCCCAAGGGGCTGACATGGCAGCTTAACAGAGCCTGCAAAGTCAATCAGTTGTCATCAAACCGTTTCATACACACACAGCCATAAAGTCAACATGTGAACATGAAATGTGTGTGCAGATGTTAAATGCCTGCATGCTTTATACCATGACACCAATTCTTACACAGAAAGCATCCAAACTATTTAAACTTACATACGGGTAAATGTTTCCATAGAGGGAATATTCATGTGTCAGAATGAAACAGTTCAAGTTCAGACCCAAGTTACATCGCAAATCTTTGAAAAGACTTGGTTTTTTTTAACAGCTAACCAATCTGAGCGTCAATTGTTTTGCAAAAAAACAAACAAAACAAAAAAACAGTGTAGCCTCTTCATGTTTGTCGCATGATGTCCTGAGAAGATCCAGTTTCAATTGAGGTTGTAGCAAAGTATGTAGTGAACGCAGAGAATTGAATATTTCAGCTAAAGATGCTTTTCAAAATGGCCACCATGTTTGCTGTCACGGCGAGCAAATTTTCTCGCTGAAACCGGCAATTTAGGTGCATATGTTCGGTGTCGAGTCGTAGCGCATCACGATTCTTTGAGCTTGTGTTTCCTTTTGACGGTGGACGTTTTTCAAAATGGCCGCCACGGTTGTAATGGAGAGTATGTGTTTGCACTGGTGAGCTAACGGCTGACGGCGGAGTCACAATTCTCCGTTTCAGCAAAACAAAACGGCGACGCGCAGTTTTGGAAATGAAATGCGTCGCAGCGGGAAGGAAGCTGCTGATCGCAAACACATATGAAGCTGCGGTCTGCGTGGCCTGCAGGCCCCACGCTCATCTCCGCTCAGTTCACTTGACTGAACAGCAAAGTGGCGGAGGGAGGGGCTGAGGGAGGAGGCGAGGGTGGGGTCGTGACCCCTGGTTGCCTCAGAGTAGATGAGCGCAGTCGTTTGGACGCATCATATTGACACGCATCGGTGCCCATCCGTCCATCCATTGCAGCAGACGGTGCAGAGTGGGGGTTGGTGTGGGGTGGGAGGCTAAACCCCGACGTTAGGTGAGCGAGAGCAAAGCCGAACGCATCAGAACATTAAAATGTGTGTGACCTGGATTACGGCACACAGAAACTTCCTGCCTTGGAGTGGAATCGGCTCACGTTGTGGTAACAGGCTCAGCAGAGAGTCTGAAACCCAACGGGGAGGCGGGGGTTCGGGGAGAAAGGTATAAGAAAGTCTTCTTTTGAAGAGCTTTGTTTTCTTTGTGGTTTTATAATCAGCTTGTTTTTAATCTGGAGAGAGAGAAAAAAAAACTTGATGCAAACTCAGTCATAAGTCAGTTTGCAAACTGACCCCAAGGATTTCAGCTGGATTTAGTTTAGGTCAAATAGCCATGAAAGAAGTTTGGATTTGAGCCTAACATTAACATGACTGTGTTTCTTTTTTTGTTATCCTGTTAAAAAAACATATAGAACCTATTTTAGTTTACTAGTAGATCGCTAAATTTTTTTTGATTGTTAAAGGGGCTTTATTATATGATTTCCAGCCAGATACTATCATCATTTTATAGCATAATCAAGTAACTATGTTGACTTCACTTGTTATAAAAGTGCTTATACATCATATATGCGTTAAAAGAAAAATTTACTTTGTAGTTCAGCGCTTTGAAATGGGGCCACTGTCTCTTTAAAACGTCCTCCTACTTCCGAATCTCCACCTTCAGGAAGTCATCACAACATGGCTCCTTTAGTAACCAGTTTTACCAGCGTTTCACTGAGAAGCAGCTCCTATAATGAGCTCAGCAGATGCGCAGTTCCATCGGGTGTTTGCCAATTGTTGCTGGCTAGTCTGAAGGAGCTGAGTCAGGGGAGTTTCGGGGGGGGAGGGCTGCTCTGTGAGACGGAACCTTGGAAACTTCAGCTCTGAGGAGGAGCTTTGTCTTTGAAGGCGGGGCCAAGTCCAACCAGGCGTTTAGCATAACTGAATAGTTGCCACGGAGATTAAAGGAGTTCTAAAACATGCAGTTAAATCTGATAGTTTCCTTAATCTTCAGCTGGTCGGTTTTGCATGCGAAATCGATCCTATCTCCTTTTGCAAGGGCCTAAAAAAATAAAAAAATAGCCACTGTCCGCATTTGCTCTACAGTGAAAATGGAGCCACCCACCAGCAGGAAACGGACTGCGGTGCAAGGCATTCTGGGTGAATACAACCAAAACAAACGTGCTAGCCCTGGCACTAGAGGAACGGCCTCTAAAACCTGACGCCGCTTCATTTTCGTTTATGATTTGAGAAGAAGGAAGTCATGCTCTTCTTCTGAGGTTCTTTTCCCCACGTAGTCTCCTTAAGCGGTTTGTGAAGCGCAGCGCCACCGCAGGCGTGGAGGGGAACAGCTTTTTTGTTGTTTTTTTTTTTTTTTTTTTTTTTTTTTTTTACAAGAAAATTTTGGTCCCCAAATCAAACAGTCTATCGGGGGTGTGAACACAACTTAATAAATGGACATTTCAAGCACAAAAATATAAATAAATAAACAATGTTTGTCATGTTTTTAAGGGTAAACGACTGAAAATTGTACAGTTAAATTTAACCAACCAAAACTTAAGACTTGGAGGAGAGAGAGGTCTGCTGCATGTTGACTCCATGCAGCAGACCTGCAGCCTGCGGCGGTCGGCGGCTCACCTGCAGCCTGCGGCGCCTGATTATCCCCGAGTCATCCATGGCGTAATGAGGCGGGCATGCAGGGCTTTCCCTCGCCTCGCTGAATCAATCCTTTGACCCTGAACCGACGTGCATCCGAACCGTCCAGCCCAAAAACACACACACGCACACTCTGAATGAGACCGGGGTCACGTCGAGGAAATCCGCTTGTCAGGCGTTGCCATTCGCCCGCGCCGTCTTTCCTCTCGCACTCATAGAAAACGAAACGGAGAACAGTTATAATCTCTCCAGGCACCAAACGCTGCGGCTCCTCTCAGCTCGCCGGCGGTCTGCGCCTCTCCGCGGCCGGACATGGCTTGCCCAACCACGCGCCGATGGATCCGCGGGGCTTCGGCGCCGTCCAGCGGGGCCTCAACGCGGGGTCGGTGCGAACCAAAGTTCGTCCCGTCCGTCTCTGTCTTCTGTCCTCTTTTGTCAGAGTCACAAAAAAAAAAAAACGTGCCGGCGCGTTTCCGCGTCTGCACACAAAGGACGACGCGTCCGCGATCGCCGCCGTCCCTCACCGGGGAGGCGTGGAGCCGCGCTGCTCGTCCTCACTCAGATCCTCCGCCGCGGGTCCGCGTCTTCCTCTGCCGCAAACATTTAGCGCCTCCTCCCGCAAAAAACACGCGCCCACGTCCCTCTCTGCTCTTTTTCGTTCAGTCATTCATTGTGTTGTTTTTTTTTTTTAAATGTTAACTTCCAGGGAAGCGGATGGAGTGACAGAAGCGAGAAGCAATTTCTAATGTTTACTGGGACTCCCCTCTCGCCCCTCCTCCTTTGTGTGTGTGTGTGCGTCTGTGTGTGTGTGTGTGTGCGTGTGTTGGTGGGGTTCCACTTCTGTGACTGTGGTGAACACCCAGCCCAGATCCCACGCAACTGTCACAACTTTCTGCAGGGTTCATGCAGATGCCAGATCAGAGATCAGGGATGCTGAATCTGCTGATTTCTTAAAAAAAAAAAAAAAAAAAAAAATCAACAGAGAGACATGAGGGGGGAGAAAAATGTGGATGAAACGATCTGGTCTCGACTTCAGCACCACAGACAGTTACCATGGCAAGGCAGCAAAGGTCACCAGCTCCTACATTTGTCAAAAAAAAAAAAAAAATGAAGAGCTAAACAATCAAACTTTGCAAAAATAATCATCTTCTTTACACATTCACATTTTGTTGCAACCTGGAACTTTATGTTTTTGTTTTGTTTTTTAGCAAAGTTTTTACCCGATATATGCAGTGGAAAAAAATATACCAAACTAACCGGTCACAAGTAGGCCTACAAACCTGCACTCATGTAAGAGTAGCACTGCTTCATGTTTACTCGAGAACAAAGCAGAACACAGTTAAGACATGACTCAGAACATCAGTCATTTAAGGTTTTAAAATGACATCATCAGTCAGACCAAAGTATGAAGTCATGTGTCAATAATTTATGTAAATGATGTGGTGACAAAATCAGACAACAGAAAAAAAAATGTCCAAGTCAAAAGTGCAATAAGCCGCATGAAACTTGTATGTCTGGTGAATTTCTACTTAAAGGGGCAGCATGATGTAAAATCATACTGTTTTTTTCTTGTTGTTTGTTTGCTTTGTTTTGAGCTTCACATCATGTTGTGATGTTATCCCCTCATCAGGCAGACGGGCGGTTCTTTTGGCGAACGCATCGCTCAACGCCTTGCTGGAGATCACGGTTTTCACACGGTTTTAAGGCAGCATATGGCTCAGGCCGCGATGACCTCATCAGTGCCAGACGCAGAAGGAGATCTGCAGGGGAGCGTCCAAGAATGTGGAACCAGCCCACGCTGACCCACCTGAGGGGAAGAGGCAGGAAAAGCTGTTGTTGTTGAGCTGCGAGCAAACAGCAAGATGATTTATGCTTTGTTTTTGTTTTTTTGTTTTTTATGGCAGTGTCTGCTTTTCTGATAAAAATATACTATTGACAATAAGACAATGTAAACTATAGGAAGTAGAAGGAACAGACCGCTAGCTATCTGACTGGCTATTCAGCTAGATAGGATGCCGACTAGCTAACTGGCTGTCTGTCTGACTCTAGCTAGAAAGCCAACTAACTAACTAACTAGCTATCTGTCTGATTCTAGCTAGCTGGGCAGCCGACTCGCTAACCAGCTATTTCTCTGTGTTACTCGAGCTAGCTAGGGAGCCAACTAGCTAACCAGCTATTTATCTGTCTGATAGACAGAACTAGCTATCTGTCTGACTCTAGCTAATTAAGGAGACGACTAGCTAACCAGCTATCTATCTGTCTGACTCTAGCTAGGAAGCTAACTAACTAGCTATCTGTCTGACTCTAGCTAGCTGGGGAGCCGACTCGCTAACCAGCTATTTCTCTGTCTTACTCGAGCTAGCTAGGGAGCTGACTAGCTAACCAGCTATCTATCTGTCTGATAGACAGAACTAGCTATCTGTCTGACTCTAGCTAGCTGAGAAGGCGACTAGCTAACTAGCTATTTATCTGTCTGACTCTAGCTGGATAGGGAGCTGACTAGCTAACCAACTAGCTATTTGTCTGACTCTAGCTAGCTTTGAAGCCGACCAGCTGACTAGCTATCTGTCTGTCTATGAAGACAGATACAGATGTTAAATCACAGGGTGTATTGATTTTTCACCAACAACTTTTGAACTTTGGTTCTGTTATTGATGAATTTCAGTCTAATAGTTAGATCATATTTCATAATCAGAGGGAGTTCACTTCCTTCGATTATAGTCGATCTTTTATGGAAGCCGAGAACGGACAGTTTCTGCTTTTTACTTTTTTCACGCCAGTTTCCTCGAGGTAACGAGTTAAGTTCCAGTTTTCCACATGTGCTTTTCCCGACAATTTCCTTGCGATGACGTGTCACAATCATGTTCAACTCGCACCAGCTATTCTGGTGATCTCCAGAAAACAAACTTGAACCTATCTCGAGAAAAGCAGATGGAAACCACCTCGCCATCTCAAGAAAACCTGAGAAACTGACTCATTATCTCCAGAAAGAGATCGGAAAAAAATCCCACTCTTGGCTTCTGTACACTTTTGTACTTTTATAGTAAAAAAAAATCCAGAATTGTTGTATAAAGAAAAAAAAAACAGCAAAAAAACAAGAGAAAAGTAATCATTTTTAAATCCAGACCCCTGAGCTGCTGCGTCAGTAAGTTGTCCAGTCTGAGCCGGGGGGGAAAAACAGCCCCAGTAAGCAGGCTGTGTTTTAGCCAGATTAAATGTGTGGAGCCGTTTGGCCGTCTCGCTGCTGATGGCAGTGGTTTGTTCTGCTGCTTGCTCGCTATGTAAACCCTGACCGGCAGACAAAACTATCCGCCCGCCCCGTCGGGCCCCTCTCGTCCACACAAAGCCTCGCCGTCTTTGTGATCCTGTCGCTCCTGCGAACGCTCTCTGAGCCGCTGGACGCCAGACAGGAGAACGGGGCCTGCCGAATTCCAGGTTTCCTGCACCGTCCGGAAAAGTTTGTAGTTTTATGTCGATTGTTTTAAGACCTGGGTAAGAAGGGGATGAGAAGATAACGCAGCGGATAATATTTGTGTTTCTACACTTTATTCCCAATCGGGGTTGGTTTCTCGACAAACTCACAGACAAGATATGTGAAGAAAAATCAGCTTCTTGAGTTTCTTCCTTGCTTTTGTTCATTATTCTTGAACTATTACATTTGTTTAATGTAAATGTGGCGTCCCATGAATTCTTAGGGATTCATTATGCATTAGTTTCCCTCTCAGCGGAGCTACTGGTTGCTTTCTTCCGCGTTTCTCTTGACAAAAACCTTTCGGTTTCTTGCTAGCGATGCTAACTTGATGAGCAAATAACATCCCATATTTTGCCATAATGATTGAATTGAATATTTTGTGATTGAAAAAATTGGATTAAAACATTTATTAGCTTCATTTGCTTTTTTTCTCATCTGCCCTCCAACTTCCTGAGGCCCTTCCATCGCCCCTGGCGCCACCCCTGAGGGCCACGGCCCTCAGTTTGGAAAACACTCCCCTATTCCACTCTCTAGATCAGTATTCTGTGAGCTGCCGGCTCCAGAGCCGGACACGGTTCTGACCATCTTTCACTACAACTGGTAAAGTTTTTTGTAAATAGAAAAGAAGATGCAGGTTTTTTTCTATTTTTCTATTGTCGTTGTTTCGCATTTCATATTTTTCTGTATTTAAAAACCCGGAATTTGGAACAAATGCTTTTAATTTTTTAAAAATTGACAACAGATTTAGTGTAGTAGGGATTAATCAAACATGCTAAATATGAAGATGGTCGCCGTGAAAGTATAGAATATAGTAGAAATATAAACGAACTCTTCCTGTCTGCCGCTCTGCTTGTCCCCGGCGGGGGTCGGGTGGGGAAACGCAGCAGTTTGTCCTGTTACGGTATTTGCTGCAGAATGAATCTCTGCGTCTCAACACAAAACATCACGCTGCTTTCATATCCTCTTGCGTAATCAAACTGTAATCCCTTTGACGTTGGGAGGCCAGCAGCTGCTCGGCTTGGTTCAGGACAAGAGCTCATGTCCTGCAGTCTTACTTCGGTCTTACTTCCCGCATTAGTGGAAAAATAAAGGTTTCTAACTATGCAGAAACATCCTCAAAAAAAAAAAAGAAAAGAAAAGAAAATGACCCACTTGGTCCCGAAAGGAGAAGATGGGAGCAGGTAGATTGTGTCCTGCGTCTCTCATGCAGCTCCACCGTTTCCTCAAGTGTTTTAGTTCAGGAAAAGACAAAAACTGGAGGTGCAGCGAAGGAGTCACAGCAGCGACTTTTTTTTTCCTCTGTGTCTGAGCCAAATGAATGACTGTTCAGTGGGGGAAAAAAGTATTCGAAACAGATTTTTCAAGTTTCTTTACAGAGGATGGAAACGTTTGTAATTTTACATGTAAACTACGAGAGAGAGAGAATCGAAAGCGAATAAAGTCAAATATAAATGAGTCATTTGTAACGCTGCGGTTTTGATTTGCAGATTTTGTCGCAAAAACTAAAATATGTCCTCAGATATTTTCAAAAGGAAGACGCTCTTTGTTGCGATAAAGCATAATCTTGTGACCTGCTTGACAGGGTGCAAGAAATTCAGTAATCAACAATAAATAAAAAAGTGTGTCCAAATAGTCCAAAAAATCTGTAAGAGGGCAAACACGTTTTTTTGTGGTGCATTTATTTACATGCAACGCCGTTGAATCTTTTGGAGAAAAATTACTTGAAATGACACATGGGCTATTTTTGATGAACCCATCTGTCATTTTATGTATTCCTTCATTTGATGTTCTGTGCTGTCATTCCAGCCATAAATGCACGTTTGTGCTTTATGTAGGTTTTTCATCTCTAAAGATGCGCTAAGTCGACAAAATGTACATCCTCAGTCGTTGCACACAGACATCTAGGACATCTAGGCCTAAAGACTTCTTGCACTAAGTGGATGACTCAGTGCAGGAGCAAACAGCTTGACTGATGTTTTGCAGTAAGAACACACTGAACCAATGTGTGTGTGTGTTTGGGTTTAGTTTATACCTCATTAGTCTTGTTTGCTCGTTTTTTTTCCCCCACCTGCTGTTACTTAAGTGCACATCAGCAACGTCCCACTCCATGTTTTCCGCATTGTATTCCATCTGCCCTCTGGTGGTTAGATCAGGTAATGCAGCACAGAAGCAACTCACGCCATATTATTAATTATCACTTAAGTTGTTTTTA